ATGCACGACCTAAGGGAGTTAACACCACGCCTTCGAGCATGCATTTAGATATCGTAACACTATCACGTTTTCAAACAATTTATTTTGTCTTTTCAGACCCTGCAAAAAATGTTTTTGAATATTTCTCATACTTCCCCCTCCGGAAAAATAATAGTCCGTCCCTTACTGTATCTGCAGTTATAATTTTCCTTTGTTGAGCCGTGAGAGCTTGGTAACCAACTAACTGAATGATATCGAGGTATTTCCACCGACCACTTATGACTCATTTTCGTATTTAAAATGGTTTGGAGAAAAAAAAAAGGACACTTTTACATAAATTGCGCTGGCCGATTGACAGTCTGCGGTAAATAAACACTCTGAGAGCGACCAGAATCAGAGTCATTGTCGAAGTTCCCTTCAATTTTCAGTCTGTCGTTTTTATATCACATGAAAGTGAGAAGCACACTTCGAAATACCAACGTAGTCGTTTTAATAAACCCCAAAATCTCATGATAGTTCTGTTCGGGTTATTGCAAGTCAGCTACGACTTCTAGTTACTTTTTCGTATGATTTAATCATTCTTTTGTAGCCAAGCATGTCCATCAAATTACCACAGACTTCCTCTACTGCTGTAATTAAGCTCGTGGGAGCTTTTTTCCACTTGTTCACAACAAGTGAAGCGTCTCTATAAAGTGAATAAGGATCCTTTTGATTATTGCTGCGCGGTTTCCTTTGATGTGTTGCAATCCATTTATTAATACGTATAGACCAATCAAACCCTGCAAATTTGTAGAGGTCCATCGCCATGTTCGTTGTATCGACAATAAGATCTTCGTAACGTATCACTCGAAAGCGAGATTTTAGCCATGACGGGGGAGAAAACAAACCAAATTTTATGTTTTTTTCAATGGGGCTACAAACTCCATGAACAACGTCACGAAATCTTTGATTTAAAAAACTCGATATATTTATCCATTGCACTGAGTTAACCATGGAATAAATCACAGCTCTAGGATCCCGCACTAAGTGAATAGCTTTAATTTTGTATTGCTGTTGCTGGAAAATTCCTTGGAAACTTTCAAGTGTATATCTCGGCAAACGGGAGGTCAAGATCTTGAGAACAGTATATTTGGTAGAGTTACAAACCTCGCCAAGTAATTTCGCTGAGTAGGGTAGACATTTTTTCGTTTTGTCTTTTGTAGGGCACAGATGCTCACTGCTCAACGATGCACTTCGACTCCGAAATATACTCTTAGATAATGCTGATATAATGTCTTTAGGGATTTGAGTGAAACTGCAGTTGAGGAAGCTACTGATTACGTTGATAGAGGTTTTGCTGTATTGGATTCTTCTTTCTTTGTCTTTGAACAAATGGAGTTCATATATGTCGCGGGATAAAGTGTGTAGTGGCTCAAACCAATACATGATGTCAGGATTAGCATTAAATACTCCCCCTAAGAATGACGATCCTCCTCTACCTGGGCTCAATATAATGAGATTAGATCGTGGAGAGCTCTTTTCAAGTGTCTTAGTTCCAACAGATGGCTTGGTTGATTTCTCAATACCAAACCTTGTGAACAATTTCTTTGTTTCTCTTTTCAGTTGCTGTGGTGGTTCTTTTTCAAATCCCTGCAAAATCTTTCGCCTTCTTGTCTGACTGACATTGGTATATGGATTTAAACGTGGAATCAATTTCCAAGACGAAGAAAGAACCAGGGTGTAAAAAACAAACAGTAGCGCGAGGACGCTTAATGTGACTAACACCACGTTGTTTTTCATGGCAAACTCAGACGCCAACTTTTTCTTCGGTTTGTTATATTGTTAAGTGCTATATGATAGTTGCGGATAAAAAATACACGAAATCATTATTGTAACATTCAATCTCTACCGATTACTGTTTCACTGTGTGTGAAATTATTGTCATTTTCTCAACAATTGTGGGACTAAACATAAAATTTTCTCTTCCAATTATCTTGACAAATTCAAGGTATGCTCCAGTTAATTCACCGCTACTTGTTATCTTTTTTTAATAATACTCCCTATTTAGAAGACGCAGGGTTGAGTTTTCTTTTTTATGCATTGATATTACTGGAAAATTTAATTTTTATTTGAATGAGTTGATATTTTATGCAGTCGACCTTTTTCTATGCTATTACAGATGACCTGTGTGATATTCAACTAAGGCCACTGGTTTGGGGCTGCATTTTCTAGACTTAGCTTTAGTTTTATGAGTTTGTTACAGCCTGTTTAATAGTAATACTTTCTGTAAAATACAAAACTTTCTTTTCAAGTCAATTGGGAAGTCTGCCAGGGATTTACTAGTATTTCTTGTCGCATACTTTTCTTACGATGGATTTTAACCATAACCACTTGATTGGATCGTAAACCAATTAGTGAACCGGCATAGTTATGTAGAAACAGACGAAATTTTAGCAAAGCCAACCCTCAAAGACACTAATGATTGAAAACACCAAAGAGCAGTTTGGAGAAAATTCTTGGATGTTCTCACATGCTAGAGATTTTAAAATAATTGTGCATTGAATAACTATAACAAATGTGTCAGTATACCCTCTTCACCTCTTATCAGTGGCTTTCAGTGCTAAATAAGGCTCATACTTCATGTTGGACAACTAAGGAACAAATCCTTATCGTCTGGGCCACATCCAAGATTAACTAGCTTACCTTTGTTATGTCCTTTAAATTGTTTCCTTTCATTAGTCGATGCCAGAGACTTTTTTTGGTTCTGTTCTCACTGTGAGTATTTGCTACGGTGACAAATACGCACTGTGAGTATTTGCTTGAGTAGTAAATACGCATTTTTGGTAGCAAATACGCACTGCCAGTATCATTGCTACGGTAGAAAATACGCGTCTCTTTAAATATATATAATCAGTCTCCGTTTCGATTTTTCCGCATAACAGTGCCCGATACATAAAAGTAGAGCGTAATATTTATGTTGAGTTAGAAAAATACAACGACTATGCTTTCATCCTTACAAGCCTGTTTCGTGATCGCTCACTCATCACGGGATTTTATTGACAAGAATATTCATAACCGTCGTTTATATGAAAAAGAAGCAGTGTTTTGAAACAAGTAACGATAGAAAATTGCGATAAAACATTTCGTAAAAGCATATTAAAAATTTATTGACGACGTACTAAAAAGACAATAGGTACAACTAGTTTGCATAGGGTTGTATCTCTTGAACTCGCAATTGTTAATTTTATTTTCATTTGCACCCTTGATAATGGCGTCATGAAGTCGCCGAAACGTCGGGATTTTATATCGTTCGTTTTTACCTGTCTATGTATTACTAAATCTTTGTCAACATATATTGCACTCTACTTTGAAATAATGTACTTAGCTATACTTATAAAACGACTGCAGGATCTGTTGAGAATCTACCGTACTTCACAGTTTTTTGGTTTACAGCGCGCGCTTGACTAGATCAAAAAATAAATAGATAAAAAAAAAAAAATAGATGTAATAATACCAAATTAAGATCAAAGAGGCATTGCATATTAAGTGGGAAAAACCTATCCTTAATCAGCAATTGAAACATCTAGAATTGTCTCTTTCCTTTTAATTATGTTGTTCCTTGGTCTTTTAATTTATTTTTATTATTATTACATCTATTTTTTTTTATTTATCTATTTATTTTTTGATCTAGTCAAGCGCGCGGTATTTACATCTTTCGCGTTTTTAACATTCAAATGTAACGTAAGCCCTGACACGTAGTTTGTAACGTACCTTTATTTAAATTCAAATGTACAACAGTTAAATGCTCATTTGCAACTGAAGATGACATGAGAATGTCGAAACATGTCTTGTAAATTTAAACTCAAAGTTGTTGTTTCTTTTTTGAGAGTTATATCTAAAACTACTGAGAAGGTTGTGATACTGCAGCTTCTCGCCCACTGCTCTTGGCATGCTCCCCTGCCTAGTAATCAGTCATCTTACCGACAGCATCATTCCACCGAGACTGCATTACTTAAGGTACTATTATTGTTATTACTATTATTAAAAAATATCTAAAGAGGGAGCCCAGCTCGCCATAGCAGTTTTCAATGAGGCCCTCAAAGCCGTACAAAGCCGTATCCTTCTCAGTATGGACAGGCGAGAGGTCACTTTGTTCGTCCCGTTAAATCTCAGCGCGGCTTTTGATACTATTGATCACTGTCTTGGCAGATCTACTGGAGAGTGACTTTGGTATCGGTGATCCTGCTCTCTCCTGGATTAAGTCGTTTATGTGCGGTACGAAGCAACGTTTAACCATCAACAGGAATAGTCTCGGGAATTTTCACCTTGGAGTGGTGTTCCACAAGGAAGCTGTCAAGGATCTTTACTATGCATAATACATGCATGCCTCTCAGCTGTTCCATGTGGTGGAAAAGCACCTGCCCTCGGTACAGGGGTACGTCGATGACACGCAACTGTATCTTTCGTTTCGCCCTACGTCCTCACTCTCCGTCAAGAACAAGCGATCCGTGCTAGGGGAGAGTGCATCGCTGATGCCCGTGCTTGGATGGCCCATAACATGTTAATACTAAACGACAACAACACGGAATTCCTGATCATCGGTTCCCGTCAGCAACTTGCAAAGTTAAATGTCGACTCTGTTAAAGTTGGCGCTTCAGAGATTCTGTCGGCCTCGTCTGTTCGCAATCTCGGGGCGAGGTTTAAAAAGAATATGTCAATGAATAGGCATGTTGGGAAGGTCTGTAGTAAGGGCTTTTTTGGACTCTACAAGATCAAGCAAATTAAGAGGTTTTTATCGGAGGATGCCAACAAAACTCTGGTTCACACATTTGTTACGCCTCACGTTGACTATTGCAACTCCTTGCTCTACGGTGTTTCGCAGTTCCAACTAAACGGCCGTTTACAGCGTGTTCTCAACGCCACAGCGCGTGTCACCTGCCTTCGCCCACGGTACTCCCATATCACCCCAACGCTGTTCCAACTTCACTGGCTTCCACTTGTCTCACGCATCAAATTCAAGATCGCGTTGATGGTTTTCAAAGTCCTCCATGGCTGTGCTCCGTATCTGAATTATTGCACATGAAGCTCGCGGGTCGCTGTGCATTGCGCAGCGACGATCAACATCTTCTCTTGGTCCCTTGAACTAAATGAAAAACATTTGGTGACCGAGCGTTTGCCGTCGCTGGACCAAAGGTCTGGAACAGTGTCCCACTCAGCATTCGTAGATGTGAACACTTTCAAAGCGAACCTCAAAACATTCTTATTCCGACAATCACCTTAATATTTTAGTTTCAACTTTAGTTAATTCTTGATTTATGATACATGTAAAGCGCATTAGAATATTTTTATAACTTATGCGCTAAGTAAGCTGTTCAATTATTATTATTATTATTATTATTATTATTATTATTATTATTATTATTATTATTATTATTATTATTATCTTCCTCCTACTTCCAATACATCCGGGATCTTTACACGGACGTTCACGAGAAAGAGGTTCGTGACAAAAATCACGCTTGTCAACTTGGCAGCGATACGTGCTAGTTTTCACGGCCCTGACCGGTGGGAAGTCCTTAGAACGTACTTAGCACACAGAAAGCTGGTGAAGTAATTTAATTTCCTACAAAATAGAAAACATGGCAAAGAAGCAAGAAGACGTTAAGAAGAGAACAGTACTAGTTGCTGTAGATGGCAGCGAACACAGCGAGAGAGCTTTTGATTGTGAGTACAAGGAGTCTTTCGTGACTCGTAGTGCATGGAGGTATAGCAATTGTTTTCGGACGATCGATCCTTTCCCCATAAAATCGCTGCTAATTTTTTTCGTATCTTCTCACGAGACATTGAAATTGTCTGCTCAAATTTTTAAGGCTTTTAATTTGTGCTTGGCCGACTTGATTTAAAATTATTTCCCATATTCTAGTTCTCACTCGCCGATCAAGGATTCGAAAGTAGCATATTAGTTGCTCCACGGTGTAAAGAGGATATTTTCTCGATCGTATAAAAATCTACTGGATAATTATCAGTCGTTTAGATTTGTAGCCAGTTGAAACTTTATTATACATAACATCGGCTTAACAGCCCTGCGTCAATTAATCTGGAAAATTTCATACTTGTAACACGTTTTTCGTATGGGTGTTCTGGGACAGTTCATTTATGGAGCATTATTTTGCTCCAAAGGGTGCTTTGATCGAGGAAAACCCCCGTTTAGTTCTCCTGTACGTTTCTGGAGCTTAACTGATGTAGTAAGGTCCTATAATGGTACCAAGATGCCACAGCATTTTTGATTTGATATTTTAGATGATGTCCAACTTGAAATTTCTTACTGCAGAAGCCAATACCAACTGAGAATGATCCTTATCATCAAAATTGATAATCCTTATCAACAAAACTTCGTTTGCCTTGATTTCAGCAAGTTATCATCTTCTTGTAGTTAGATAACGAAATTGTGTACTAAATTGTAAGCACTTTTGGAATGATTGTGGTCATAAACCTAAACCATAGAAGTCACAGCAGCCAATCAGATCAAAGGAAAATTAGTCAATCAGATCCAAGTGAATGTCACAAGGAACCAACAAGAATTCAACATAAAAATTTGCAAATTGCAGCATTGGAAAACATGAGCAACTAAGTTGGAATTAGTTTTAGTTTTGATTTGGAGAGAGAGTTAGGTTTAATTATTTTCAAGGCCATTCTGAGAGCAAATTAAAGGTAAAAAGTTTTTCTTTCTTTTTTTTTTTTGTTAGATTTTATAAATTTTACATATCGTTATTCTCCAGGGTCCTGATGGATACCAGCCTCATTGCTGAATGGGCTACCCTGGTTAAAGAAAGTCACTTATTTACATACTTACTAACCCTATGCAATTATTATGGCTTGCTTAGTTAAAGATTTTGACAAGATTCAGGACCTTCAAATGCAAACCTTGTCTAATGACACTTAATTATTTTGGCCAAAAAAAGGGTTGATGTACAATTATTTGCCTGTTGATGTCAACCAATCAGAACGCTTTTATTTGCATTTAATAAAATATAAGTACCATATAAAAAAATTATATGCATTCACCCTGCTCAATGAAATCCACATGATAAACTCCTTATGTTTCCTCCAGGGTATGCAAAGAATTTTTATCGAAAGGATGATGAGATATTGGTGTTCCATGCAGAGGAGGTACCAACACTACCAGCCACGCCATATCCATGTAAGGTTAATACAGTACTTGGCAAATATAATGTCTTCTTTGGTACTGTGTGCATTGACTCAGTCTGATTAAAGAGCTAAACTGCCAGCTAAGGCCTTATCAATTTCTGTGGTCATTAAGCCTTCATTAGCGGGTTGTGAGTACAACAATTGCCACAGATGATAAGGTTACGAATAGTGACCTTTCCAGGTGAAGTCCTCAAACTCCAACTCCATTCTTAATTATTTCCAATTAGCTTATTGTACAATCTATCCATTTTTATGCAAAGCATTCACACTCTGTCAAGCTTCAATTGTTGTGCAAGACATGGGCTCTTTGCAATGCCTTTGAAAATTATGGAATAATCCAGTTCAAGTTTCTTCAGAAGCGATCAATCCTCTGCCCAACATCTCACTCGTGTCACCCAACAAAGTTGACAGTAATGGAGTCTTTCCTAGCCTTTAGTTCCTTAGATGTAGTACCTATATTGGGGTTTTCCTACCAAATGGGTTTAGGTGAGGGGTAATTATAACTTCTTACCCAGTTCTCCTCTTTTTTCTTCTGGGTATGAAACTTACTTTGATGGATGTCTTAGAGGGCATGGGTCCCAGTGGCCTTTTAATCCCCTCACCCTTCCCTAGACTATGCTATCACATGTATACTTATGTCTAATATTTTAGAGCAGTGGTGCAGTTTATTTTTAAAACCAATTTGAATTGGCACAATAATTTAGAGTTTAGTTACTGTTGATAAAGCTTCATTTTTAAAGGCTGATTTAGTTTGCATTTGGGCAAGACAAATTGTATACTTTATATACAGTGGAACCCCTTTAAACCGGACACCCTTAGACCGGAGGAAATGTCCGGTTTAGAGGGGTGTCCGGTATACTGAGGTTTTACCCATTGGGAAATTTTATGCTGCTTAATGACTTTTGTGTTGTCTGACTGTAGTTACCAGTACATGGTACACAAGTACTAATAAAGCACATTAGTAAAGGAACAAACAATTAACCTGACCCCTATTGTTGTCATTCATTCAACCCAACAACAGTGGTACGATTGTCGACTTTGGACTTTTTGCTTCAGTACCGATAGAACAATGAGTAATTAGCTGATTCACATTTCTCACTTCTGATTGGGATTTCACAGCTGCATGATTACAATTTTAATTTTAATCATGTTTAAAAACTTGGGATTTGATTTTGGTGGCAAGCTTAAAACTTTCATGTCTGGTTTAATGAGGTTGGTTTCTTTGTCAGTATGTGATTACAGACTGAAAAGAGCATCCGGTTTCCAGAAGTGAGGGGTTCTGGTTTACTGAGGTTAAAACTAGAGAAAATGTATGACAGAGATTTTGGGGCTGAAAAAATGGTCCGGTAAATAGAGGATTCCAGTTTAATGAGGGTCTGGTTGAAAGGGGTTCCACTGTACCTAATGTTTGCTTTTATAGGTCACTTTTTAATTGATGCTTTAACCCATAAAAAAAACAATAGAGCTACTTCAGGTCTTTCTTAGTGCAAATGAAATTTAATTCTTAATTTCAGTAATTAAGTTACATTAGTGTCACTTTGATATATTTTTTGTTTTATAGATGGTTTTGAATTTGCTGATGGATGGAAGAAGCATCTTGAAGAAAGTGACAAAAAATCCCGCACACTTTTAGAATCCTACTACAAGAAATGCCAAGAAAGCAATGTAGGTTACAGTTGTTTATAAAACTTGACAAAATATAGTTTTATTTAAAGGCCACCCTGTATACAAAGTATATATTTCAGATGTTGCAGAGATCTTTCAACCCAAGATACAGCTCTGTTTATGTACACAGGCTGTGCTCAGTTCTTGCTCAAACTGGGTTCACTTATTTGAAATCCTTTTGCACAGTTTTAAAAAAGACTTGTTTATAAGTTTATATATATTTTTTTTCATTGATCCTGATGAATTTTGTCGTGGTTGAATCAAATAGTGACACTTATTTATGCTCACTGGAATTTGGAAGAATGCGTACTTTACTAGGCTGGCATATTTAAAAATTTTGTATTTAACCTTATGCTCTTCTATTGGTAGATTTTGATTCTCACTTTTCTTAAAAGCTGATCTTTTATCTTTCCCCACAGCTGAAATGCCGGCTAATCAAGGAGAATGGAACTCCAGGAGAGGCTGTGTGTAGAGTTATCAAAGAAAGAAAAGTTGATCACGTGGTAGTGGGATCCCGTGGGTTGGGCACTGTTAGTCGTGCTCTAGTAGGGAGTGTAAGTGACTACTGTCTTCATCATTCCAGTGTTCCTGTGTCAGTTGTTCCACCTCCAGATCGCTTTGAGCATCATGGATTTGCCAACTTGCATTGATAAAGGCCATTTACCATATCTAGTTAGTGACCCAGTGGTCTAGGAAAATCTTCAAGTTACACACAACAATGAGCTTATTGGCATGTGTTGGCAGTAAAGATTGATCTCATAGATAAGGTGGTGATATTTCTTACATTAATTTTTATGTCAGCTTGGTAATCAAATGATTCTTAAAGTTGTACATTAGAAGTACTGTTGTACAGTAAGGTAATGATTTTTCACTGTAGGGTTGCAGTCTGATTTCAATAAACAAATCAATGGATGAGAAAGCTTGACTTGAATTTAAAAAATGTTGTCATTGTGATCAGAAATGTCAGTTTAATGATCTTCACTGCTAATTGCTGTAAATCTTTTCTTGGTTCCAAGAGGCTTTATCTGCAGTTGCACAAATTAAAGTTTACCAAACCTCTGCAAAGTTTCCTCTTTTTTCTAATCCCTGCCAAACCAAGGTGAAAACAACTTGACTTGTATGTACACATGTTCACTAATTGTATTCTGATAGATGTACATGTGCAACCAGTAGGCTCATGAATGCAGAGCTGATGGCTGGCTACCTTTGATATATGTGGTGCTGTAAGATGTATTCTCTGTAATAACTCTTTCTCTTCCAGGATCTCGCGAGTGATTCTCCTTACTGTTGTCCACATAGTTCTTTTAATGTTAGTTTAGATTTTTTTTTTCTAACCATTTTTCACTGCATTACTGCAGTAGGATAATTTGGTACTGGATCAACCAACAATCCTGTAACACTGATTAAGAAATCAAAACCCATGAAGATCTTGTGAAATTCTTCCTGATAAATTCACAGATTTTTCACGCGATTTACATGGTTAATTAAATCAATGGCATTTTCATGGTCTCATTGCCACGAAAAAGACATAAAAGATCCCATAAAAAACCTGTGAAAATTTTAATATTTGCAAACCACAAAATACTTTGTAAGGTGACATAGATGCCATGAAACACCCTTCTCAAATTCATCAATAATTCATGAAGCAACAGCCAATAAAAGAGGCATATTTGGGTCACATGCATGAACCTTGATACCCAATGAACACTCAGAGGAAAATCTTAACAGTTTTGATCTGAGTTGAAACATGGTTTTGATCTCAGATCAAACACTTGCATTTTATTGAGCATTTTTCAATAATTAATACATCGGGAACAACAATATACCAAAAATGACCTGAATATTATTTCATATTAAGCAGTCTTCAGTGGATATATCTCCCCCAACTTCTTGGCCACTTCCATCACAAACTTCTTTGGCCAGTACTTCAAGATTTCTGCATTCATTTCTTCAATACTGGTAGAAAGCTGTCTGACCTTGAGTAAATCAGTCTTTAAAGAGCACTCCTGGATCTAAAACAGGAGCTATAACCAGCTGAGAAATTTTCCATTTGCCAAAAATCGTTACTACCCATTTGTTACGTAGTTATTATACTTATCGCTTGTCTGCTTGATTTTGTAATTGATATTGTAAGGGGAAATTCTGTCTTGGCCACTTACAGGAGTTAGAGGGTTCAAGTGACAAAAACCAATACAATTCAAGGTAACCTTTATATATTCACATAGGTTGTAATGAGAAAGGAAAAAAAAAGACTGCAAATGATAAAAGACAAATGAACTCAAACAAACACCAAAACATTAGTTTTCTTGCATTTTTTGTGGTTGTGTGAGAAAAACTGGCTAAAGAGTGCTCTGACTCGCAATTTTCTGATATTTCGCCAAATCAGAGAGCTTCCTTTTGAGAAAATTTATGTACTCATTTGCAGTTAAAGCATGGATATATTTCCCACCTTTTGATAAAAATACAAGTTATTTGTTTTCAACAATATCTTTCACTTCAAATTGTCTATCTGAATTACATGTATGCTGAAAACAAATAGGGTTTGAATTGGTCATTGAAGGCTCCCATAATAAGTTACAGTTATTCGTGAATCTCATCAGCAGATTGTAGTTCAGTTGTACATAAAATTACATAAGCATTGTACTTCAGTTTTAGCTCAATAATCATTAATAGTGTATTCTATCTGCCTGCCAACTCTTACACCCATGATGAATCTTGCCCTTTAAAGTTTTGACTGACATATTTTCTAAAATATGGTAACAAAAAGGCAAATGAAGAAAAGATAGGTATTGTAAATGATCATGCTTTCCCCATGCACCTCTGATTTAAGAAGGGGGGACACTAAAGAAAAGGTTGTGAACTTTGAAAATGGAAGAAATAATTATTCCAAAAAGTGCCCAAACAACTGAAGATAAATGACTGTATGACTGAATTGCTTAAAACGAAAAAAATCAACTCCTTTGACTCACCAACAAATAAATAAAATAGCGGTTGAACAAAAAAAATTCCTATTCACCCAAAAGTAATTTCTATTCATAAAATCTACAATTATTTCAATTCAATGACACTTATAAGTGCTATTGATTAACTTAACTTTGGCTTGCATCAGTTTCAGGGCTCCACACTAACTTTTCAACTTACTAGCCAAGTGGCTGGTGATATCTTAGATGTTACAACAATGTCAGTTTGTTTACAAGCCAAACTGGCTAGTGGAAATCAAAAACCACTTGCCAAACTGAATTTCTACTGGTCTGTGGCTAGTTGACTACCATTAGTGTCGAGCCCTGAGTTTCTAGCTTCTCAGTAACTGAATGTTTCTTTTAATTTATTAATAATCCATGTTTATGATGCTACTGGGTTGTCTATCCATCACTTAGCTGGAGGTATCACAATCACAGGTATGGAGGAATGCCGAACAACATAATCACTGACGCTCCCTAGCAATGTTCTCCGAAGCTTGCCTAGTCCTCGGCAACCCATTATTAAAACCGTTCCATTCTCTTTCTTGCTATAATTAATGATGACTTCTCCTGGTTTGCCTGAATCATGAATCATCTTGTATGACAGTTGGCCCTATCAAAGAAGAGGGACATTTTTCCTTCTTGATCTTCACCTTCAAATTCAGAACTTCCAACTTTTGACACGGGGGTGTAGCAGGGGGTAACACAGTAACTGAGTATTAAGGTATGTGAAAGCTTGTGCATAATTATGACATACTGAGTACATGTACAGTATGTCAACACTTTGAAGATTCAGTAAATTCTTGATCACCTGAAAGGAACTCTTACCAACACCCAGGATTCAAAGTGAAAATAATGTGATTCAGGGCAAACAAAATTATTACTGCTTTCATGAAAAAAAAGAAAAATGCAAAGAAGCAAATTGACTCATAAAAATATACTTTTCAGTTCAGCTTTAAGGCTGGTTTAAATGGGTTTTTATATAAACAATTGCAAGGCCAGACCATCACACAAGGAGCTACCGCATTTACTTGAGTAGGCGTCTAGGCACTAATCAAAATTTCAGGTGAGGGGCACTTATTGGAAGGAGGGTGCTTAATTGAGGGGGGGGGGGATTAATAAGTTAGTGCAGCTAGAGGAAAAAAATGACAAGAACAGATGTTGCACACAAAGGAACTCTGCAAGCACTGGAAGTAACTAATTCTTCTGTGCTGATTCCATTGTAGTGTCAGTGAGTGCTTAATATTCAAAAGGTGGTGCTTACTAGTGCAAGGGCACTTATTCAAAGAAACATGGTGCATACATATAAATATTCCTTTAACTTAGCAAGAAGTGCATGGGTTCTTTAATGTCCCCTGCTATCCAGTACAGATAAGATGCAAGAGAAGGGCCTACGGTTTATTGTCCTTATCCAAGCAGACTAGAATGTCTAATCATTTGCTGATGTCATAGTAAAGGTAGCACATTTTTCCTCTGTTACTTTTCAGACCCTCTGTATTGGTCCAGTCTGGGGTTGGAACCCTCAACCTCCTGCATGGTAATCAGGTGCTTCGTAACAGGTGAAATACAACTACCAAGAAAAGTACCAGATACTTGCACTAACCTTCAGGGTGGCAAACTTTTCATCATACCCCTTAAGAAGGCTCCTAGCCTTGTCTTGGGCCTTCTGAATTATGACACACCACTCATCATAGCTGTTCTTGAAGTCAACACTTGCTGTACAGCAAAAAGAACAGAAAATCAATTATTAATGATAAAAGATCAAGAATAAAGAGGGAGTGATACATCGTTGTCCAGGCTTAGTAACAGTACCACTCAAAAAGAAATTACTGTTTGGTCTTATTTGGCACAAGACAATTCATGTTCCACATCTTTTGGGACATTAGACTTTTGTCTCTTGAGTTGAGCACCTTGCCATCTTAAAACAATGAAAGAAGCAGCTTGCTTGGAATACATCAAGAGGACAGTCTGATGTCTTCAGTTGCAGTTTCAACAAAAAGCTCGTTATGTGATTGAAAAAGCTTTGTCCTGAATGTTTCTTTGTAGACAAACTCATTGACACCCTCCCTTGTCTAACTACGTGTAAGCTTTTTAAGAGAAAGATCTTCTTTATCTTGTCACCAGCATGGGATAAAGAAAAAAAAAATGCTGAGTCCCCATGAGGAACTGCTTTGGAACTGATTCTGCCCTCCTGTGCTCGACCTTTGAGACACAGAGACTATAAGGTGAACAAGGCCATCATGCTTGTAATAAGGCAAATCACATCTTTCTCTATTTCTTCACTGAGCTCAAAATTCATCATCTTTCTTATTTTATTTACAAACATAAGCTTTTTAAGAAAGGGTTTCCAACATTCAATCTCACAGATTATTATTTTTACCCCTTCAATTACTTCCATGTTGTGCGTATTAGGTCTGGAGGACACTTTTCAATTTACACTGTTTGACCCTTCAGTTTGAATAAGTGACAACTGCAAATACATGTAAATAATTATAATACAGTACAGCTCAAAAGTAAGTTGACATTCTCGACTTGATTCTCAATCCTTGATACTTGAAACTATCAAGGATTGAGATTTGAGGCTGGAGTATCCAGGATTGAGACACTCCAACTTTTTGAGGATCTCAATCTGCAGTATAGAGAAAACTTTAATTAAAAATTTAATTATTGCATCCAAAACAATAGCAAAGGACAAAGCCCTTGAAATGTGGCTCTTATTTAAACACACAGATTGACAGCTTGCAGACATGCAAATTTTTCACAATGTGCAAGACTTACTTTAGCCAAGCCCTCTTTTATGACATTGAATATAACATTAATTTTGTTAGATTTATATTTATGTCTACAAAACTTTTATGACAAAAATGAATTTAAACAAATTCTGAAGCAGAAAACAGGTGACACACTCAGAACTGATAAACTTCTCAGCCACAAGAAAGTGTTTTATATTACATGTAGATGTACCGTATGATGCAAGACCAAATTTTCCATCTTCAATGAATGAGGAAATGTAGAGTTCTAGAATGGCAGGGATAATGGATTTACTTATTACATTGTATTTGCGAAAAAAGCACAACATGCAAGAAAAATTAATAACAAAATGCAAAGAAGCAATGATCGATAAGCACATCTGGTGAAATTTCATTGCTCCTTAAGAAACTGTTCTTGACAAGACGACAAGTAAAAAATTCAACTGAGGGAACAAAACATGTGGAGAGTCAAATAAGAACAAACCATGAATGAAATATAACACTCTGCAAAAGTCATTAACTTTGCAATTAACTAGCAAATAATTATATCAGAATAAATGGTCTTTCAAAAAGTAATTCTAATCCTCCTCTACAATGAAAAAAGAGAGTGTTTTCCTGTAGCTACAAGTACATGTATGAGGCTGCAAAATTAATTTCGAAGAGAAAGTTCAGTTTTATACAGTGTTGAATATTATTTTGGGATTCTAAGAAAGTAGCTTATTCATTGTACATTTGCTGACTACTTCCTTTACGGCTTGTCTGTTTTTTCATGTTTGCTTTTAATCAGTGACAACATTGCTGCAATTAGGTAGATATGATGGTGCTTGTACTGAAGAAGTAATTAATAACTCAACAAACAAAACAGTTTACATGAGGTCCCTTAATCTGACCTTGAAGCAGCTGCAGATCTAAATCTACACCTCAACGCTCCATTAAAACAAAACTACTGTCACAAGTTTTGCGATACACCAGTTTTATTACTCTACAATGTAATACAGATACCCTCAAGATACAGCAGATTGAATGTTGAAAAATCAAAACCATTAAGAAGTGCTCACAACCATCAAATTATCAGAAAACGGTTTACATCATCAGTAACCAATGATAACACAAATTAAAAACAGGCAGCTGGCAAGAAGCACTGGAAAATTAAACATAACTGACCAAAGATGAAAATGTCATTATTGTGCTAAATGATAGGATCCAGGGGTCCATTTCTCAAAAGTCCCAGTAATTTAACGGGCTGTAAAGCTGTTCTGTTTTCATTCAAGATGGAGATTTCAAAAGTTTTGAAAATGATGTAATAACACTATCAGCTAAAGAAACAAAAAGGACTGGTTTGGGTGCCAGGACCTAATAACAATAATAATAAACAAAATTTACAGAGGATATCACCAGTAACACTAATTTAATTAGGGTGGTCCTCTATCTGCACCCACCCACCCCACCCCAGGGGAGGACATCCATCACACAGTAATCTCATGCGTTGGAAATTAACGTCTCCTACCTCTAACCCTGCAGGAGACGGAACCTCCATTTATCCTCTCCTATCCGAGAAGACTAGAATATCTAACCATTTCTTGATGTTATAGAAAGGTAGCATAACCTCATTTTTTTTTAAGACCTCGAGTGTTGGTCCTGCTTTCCTATCCTTTAAATTTTGATTTTAAAACATAGTTACAAGCCCGTAAAGTTACCGGGACTTTCGAGAAACGGGCCCCAGGCCTTTTAAATAAATGGTTCTGTAATCATTTTATTATCATTAGATCCACTAATTACTCACTGTGTTTTGCAGATTGCATGGGTGGAGGATCAAATGCATGGATGAAAACAACTCTGTCACCTTTAGAGTGAATATGTTCTAGATACCCTGATGAAAAAAGAAAAAGGAAAATATAAACAGAGTTCAACCCAACCTCTCCAACCAAAATAATCACAAAGCAGTGGAGAACAGTGAATTTGCATACTTCTCTTCACCTGCTCAAAGGGAAAGGCATTAAAAAAAACCCTGTCAAAGGCAAAGGCATTAAAAAAAAACCCTTTCTCCAAAAGTTGATTATTTAAGTAGTTTAGGTCACTTGCTATTTTGATATTTGCCTCATAAAAATGGGAATAAATAAAATATCAGTAATTACTTCGGATCTGCCAATCTTTTCTACTGGTTTTACAATATGAATGACTCAAGTTTCAACAATGTTGCGGCAATATTCAAGATTTTATAATATTTGTATGGAAAAATTCTACAAAAATCACTACGAGAATGAAATCATATAAGTCGAGTAGCGTCGCTTTGGTAAATAAACAAATGAGCAGTTATGATTAGAAATGTACCATTCGCTGCAATCTGAGATCACAAAATAAGGCCAATATTACATGTGTGTGCACTGGGAGTAAATATGCGCGATATTCGTTCCTCTTGATTCTAACTTTCTTGGTATTGTATTTCTTAAAAGCAAGAGACGTGGAGAAAATCACGCCTGAACTCTAAGTTAAACATTTTACAATTAACGAACACTCAAGGGAATGCTGAAGAATAACTAAGAATAATTAATATCTTTTCCTCTTCTCAAGAAAGTCTCATTTAGACGTAAAGGCAAATAATCTGTCGAGGATCTCAGCGGAACGGAGTGGACATATCAGCCAACGAAGTATATCGATAGACCAATCAATCTTTGCAATATTCCAAACTATTTATTTTAAAACCAATATCTGATCATGTGGCCGTAACTAAGCTTAGCAAAGTTTAGCTTCGCTAAGTTTATGTACGCAAACTAATATTGCTTCTTAAGTTTTGGTAAACCGTCAAGAATGAAACAGTTTTTAAACAGAGACTTACAGCTTACTGCCCGTTCACTGTTTTTACTCCCATCCACGGGGATAATGACCACATTTGCAGACGACATCAGGTTCTGTACATGTGATTCCCTCTAATCCTTATGATCAAGAGCACGTTAAAGTTTGTGATCATATACACATTCACGTACTCTCGTCACTTCCAGCTGTCAATCTGTCAATAAATCACTCCCTAAATTCACTGCTGCGCATCCTCTCCCCAGTCTCCAGATACATCGATAAAATTGATTGGTTTGTGCATAATCAAAACTACCAATAAGCGTACGCGTAATTACAGTAGCTATAAATATTTAAAACCCGACTAGACGGGGTCTCTCGAATAAACTAGCAGTTTACTGCAGACCTGTATACCTGGCGATAATCGTTAATTAACTTTTCCGCTTTGCACAGTCATGTCCGCGAAAAGGAAGGTTCTAATTGCAGTGGATGGCAGCAAGAACTCTGACTATGCATTAAATTGTAAGTATGTTAATCATTGAATCGCGACTTTGCGTGCGCTCTGAAGGGAGTAGGGGTGTGAGCCGCGAACGGTACGTTCGATGGTCCGTATACCGTCGCCAAGTGAATTTTGTGAATCGAATGACTTGTATCCTAGAGGTTTGCAGATCACAGCCTCTTTTGTCAGCTGGTTTTTTTTAATTTTTTTAAGATAACTGCTCGCTATATTGCAATTGTAACAAATGTCTGCGTCTTGATATCCAGCTTCGTTATGCGAAGCAGTCGGTGAATGTTGCAGTTAAACAAATCTTGATTATAAGATTCGGGAAATCGATTGTTACGAATTGGTTTGCGTGATGAATATACCAGAAAATGACAAAAACATGATGTGAGTAAATCAAATCTGAAGCAATACCAGACAGATGCACTTTGTACACATGGAAAGTTCCTAAATTATTGAAAAGATTCAAGTGTGCATATTGATGTTTGAATATTAATGAAGTTTGGATTCTGTGAGAATTTGGTAGTTTATATTTAATGACCTAAATCAGTGCACGAGTCCAGGAGCATCGCAGGCTTGAGTTAAATAAATGATCCAGACTATCATTTACACCCCCTCCCCCCCTCTGGTAAAAATAAAGGCACGATGAAACTGTGACTGACTGATCTCACATTAAAACTCTGGCTAAAGATCAATGTGTGATCACTCTGTTATGATGGTAAAACCTGTGATCACAGTCTAAAAAATCATTGGTAATGAGCGCTTCTATTATTACTTCCATCGTTAGACATAGGCAGACTTCTCTAGCTATGAACAGTTTTTTTTTTTTTTTTTATCTATGTCAGCCTGTTTTGAAAGATATGATTTCTATCTCTTGCAAGTCCACTTGTATTTGGTCTAATATGACAGTACTTTTAGGATAGATTTGTTATTACCTTTCTTTTTGTTACATCACAACTGTTCTACAAGCAACCATTTATGGTGCAGAGATATAGTGGCTAAAAATGCATTTTCAGTCAAAATAATTATGCATTGAATGAAGTGAGTTTTAGGACACAAGTTGGTGATATATGTATAGCTTAACCACTGATTTATTACATCATTTTGTTGGGTGCCAGATGCACTGGAGTTCTGCAGCCTCCAGTGCTGCACACATGTTTGAGTAGGATCGTCTAAGTTTTCAAACACCAGGAATCAAATATTGAGAATCAAGTTTCAAGGGACTGATACTTACATTTGAGCAGTGCTGTATGTTTCATATTACTCTTTTATACCTGATACAAGAAGATCAGAATATTCTGAGTCAAGAAAAACTATGGCCATACAGCTGTGACCATTGTAGAGTGTAGTAGCACCATCAAATTTTTATGCAGCTCTCAAATTTGTAAACTGAATTGAAAAATTAAACCTGCTCTGATTTTGATTTATTGTGTATTTCACAGGGTACTTGGAAAAAGCCCACCACGAGGGAGATGAGTTGATTGGATTTCATGTTTGGCAACAGAAACGTCTTCCCACCTTTAGTTTAAAAGGTTGGTAATGTGGGAGTCAGAATAATTGTTATCAATTAAAGCAACCCATTTTTCTGCGTAAAGTAAGTGCCACTACATACATGTGCATACATGTTAAACCCTTAGTGCGAGCAGCAACTAATTTCTTGTTACAGTAATACCACTTTTAATAGACTAAAGCTGCCATGCTAGTGAGTAAACTACAAGGGCCCCGTAGCCGGGCCTCCATTGTCCCAGCATGCAGTGGGCCTAGGACCCAGTCCTAACTTATGATACTACACCACTGAGTCACTCATGGATGTCATGAGAATAAAGGAAACAATCGCTAATCTAAGAGCCTTTGATTGCCAAATGGTCTTATTCCCTTATTAGTATTAATACAAGGAAATTCTAAGAGAGATTAATCATACTCTTGGCTTATTGAAAACAGCCTTTTTTACCAGTAAGTAGTAAAAGTAATTTGGACTGGAAAAAAGGCTGATTAAAAGAAGCTATTCACATTTAATGGGAACAAGCTACACTTAATCATCAACTTTGCATGTAACAATGTTAATTAAAACTTTCCATGTAATTGCATACATTGTTTTGTTTCTATTGTTGTTTTGTCCCTTGAGCGTTTTTTTATACACTTTAACTTCAACCATGTAGTCTGTATAAATTAGAACTGAAGATGACAGAAGAACTGTCAAAACATGTTTTTGAGAATTGTCATTTATTTTCTGAAGTTTGTGACACAATTTTTATCTGCTATTAGTATATACTAAAACAGTGGATAGCAAAGATCCTTGTCTTTGAGGATCCTTGACCGGTCTTTCAGTTGACAATCCTCAAAGATCCTTAAAGATCCTGTGAGGTTTTTCACCAGGGAAAGCGCGCTCTGATTGGCTAGTCAAACTCCGAATATCCTTTGCTATTTACCTCCGAGCAACTTGGAATAAAATGGCGTCTCGGTTTGCATCCGTGACAAGCAAAGAAATCACTCAAATTAACAAAGAAGCAATTTTTGGTGGTATATATTATCTCTGTCACTGTTTTAGTGTATAGTAAAACAACTATTCACCTCAGTGTTGGTGGTTAGTGGTGGATATTTACCTCGCCGCTTCACAGCTCAGTAAATATCCACCACTAACCACTTCCACTTCGGTGAATAGTTTTTAACTATCCGGACCTTTTTCTACACAGGGTAAATGAATTTTTGATTTCTTATCTACTGCTATGTACATCACTTTATAGCACCTTTCCAGCTTCCAGCTGAAGAGTGGAAAGAAATCATGGAGGAATCCATTAAAGAAGTGCAAAAAGTTGAGAATGAATTCACAACAAAATGTCATTCAATCAAGGTCTGTATTTGTTTTCAATGTAAATGTTTTGAACTACATGTTTTTCCAATAGTCAATTGTAGTCATTTCTTACTTCTTAAGTTCAGAGGACTTCCCAGACATGAATCATCAAGAGATTTATTTAATATAATATGGCTTGATGTAAACATCATGAATTAGTTAAAAGTTATTAGACATTGTGAAATCTGAACCTACTGTACATCAGAGGGGAAACACAGTGTTTTCCATACCTGTTGAATTACTGCAACAGTTGAATATAGATATAAATGATAATTTTAAAATATAGCTGGCGGCACCTGTGGGCACTATGAAGCAATTCTTGTGTTCTGATAGGCTACCTGAGTTGGCAAGATGGGCCCATCCTGCCCCACTCAGGATTGTCTGCTTTGATCCTGGGCAAGAAAAAAGATGCGTGGAGCAGACCTGCAATTTTGGCGATGAAGTCACACAAAGCAGCAGAAGATAGGCAAAACAAAGAAAACATAAACAACTGTTGTGGGTTTTTTGTGCTACAAACACAATTGGCTCTCTTTCCTGGCTCTCAAAATAAACAAGTTATTCTTAATTATTATTAAAGAAAAATCTTTTGTTGACCAAGCTTGTTCAGTCTAGATGGCAGAACATTAGCCTGGTTCTTTATTTTTGTATTTTTATGGACCTCGACTTTGTCCCAGCCCACAAAAATGTAAAAAGAGGACTTGGCCAATATCCAGCTTTATTATCTAACTACACTCCGTAGAGTACAAATAATGCCATAGAAGAGTATAAATATCACGTGGTATTTGTACTCCAGAGAACTGGTTAGATAGTTTTTCTTGCATTGCGCAGGCGAAGGATTTGATTGAAGTTACGAAAAAAAAATGGCGGACAATTTGAATCATATTTCTGATGATGGAGAGTTGGGACAGCTGGCAAATATAGATCCTAGTTTATTAGATGGATCAGACAAAGGAAAAAACCCAGACAACCAGGATATTGCTTCGTTTATTGAAAAAATAGAAACAGCAACATGACAATGTATCAATTCCATTCCGCTTTGCATACTTCTGTCATGCACTCCCTGTAAATAAATATTTGCAAAATTTGCCTGCATTGAAACAACAATTTGGCGTGTGGGATAATAAATAACTTATTAGATGTTTTGATGCATAGTATGGCTGAGTATTTTTACTTGTTATTTGTATTTTGACTCAACCTACAGACTTGTCAAAATAATTATGGCACAATTTGTAAAAGTACTCAGCGATACTGTGCAACAAAACATCTGATAAGACATATATCTTTACCTCTGACTTATCAATATATATGACAATAACTTTAAATAGTGTGTTGCTGATGTTCTTACCAATGTTCTTACTGATTTGGGCCTCTTGACTCAGACAATTTAAGAAAAAGTGCTCAGGGTGCTAAATCACTATTAATATATTTATGTGGTGACAACTGTAGAATCTAATTCTAATGTACTTCATTCCTTTGACATTTTCAGGGCAAGAAGTTCGAGAGTGAGAGTAATAACCATCCAGGAGAGGCAATTGTTAAGTTTGCAAAGGAAAAAGAAGTGGATCTAATCATTATGGGCACAAGGGGACTAAGTCAACTGCGTCGCACTGTCATGGGTAGTGTTAGTGACTATGTTCTGCATCATACCGATAAACCTGTTGCTGTGGTGCCACTTAAAGAGGAATCAGCTTAGAGGCTTTCATTTTTCTGGAGGCAATGGTTGCATTGCAATAGTTTTAGCTTTCAATTTTGTCTTCTTGTTGAATGGGCGTAGTTAGATGTAGCACAACTGCTTCCTGCATCAATTTTCCAAGTAATGCTTAAGGAAATATTACATTGTTAGATTATGCACTATGAGTAAGAAATTAAATGGAGCAAGTGGTATGGTTTAGTTTTGACATATTTTCTATCAGACATCCCTAAACTTGTTCTTCTTGTTTATTACCTGTACTTTTCTGTTAAGGTGTTAGCTCAAAACCCTTGTGCATTCTCATTTTTTTGTGGGCTCCAGAACAGTTTTCTGTAGTCATCTTTTGACTCCCTGATCAGCCCATGACTTCTCCACACAGTTTAAAGGCAATTACAATCAAACATGTATTGAGAATTAGAAGAATATCATCTTATTGATTGGACCCCAAATTCTTGGACAAACCAGAGATGAAATGATTAATCATCATTTGGGAGAATCATCTTTCAAAGTTTTCTGTCAAAGGGTTAAAGGGGGAGATTTTATAATGAGAACATTGCCTTTGAACTTATTTACAATTTGTACACATATCAAGGATTAGAATTTGAACCTCCTTAGCTTTTATTGGGGACACATTTTTCCTGTTCTTTAAAAATGCCAAAATTGTAAGCTAACAGATTACAGGAATTGTAATGGGGGCCTCAGTTGCCTTCTTGCTGTTTTTGTATCACACTCAGAATTTTTACCAGGTGTTTTGAGAATAAATTATGATCAGTCTTGCTTTTTTCTGAAGTTGAGCATTTTTTTTATCTTGTCTTTGTTTTGTACACCCACACTTTAAGTATCCTTTTGGACCACAAACACTCCTTTAATTGTAACCAGCTAACATGGCATGATTAAGCACAGTAATGTAAACTGGTTAGACTAGTTTATCTCTATTATCTTTGCCCTTGCCTATGACACGGGTAAAGTTTTAAACTCAAACGAAAAAAGGTCTAAATTTTTTGGAGGGAACTTATTTCAATCAACAGCTCTTATGAGAATTTTACCAAACGACTTCATTATTTTACTGGCCCCAGTTTTCCTCTCACCTTTTCTTTTCCATCCGGGTGGTGTACCAGTCTAAAAATGCAAAGGGTAAGCTGCAATAGACAACATCCCGTCCTGGAGAGCAGCTATTGTATAAGTCGCCTCATGAAACACTATGAACTGTATGTGGTTTGGGCCGGGCCAATTTTCAAAAAAATTCACCGAAGGAAACGCGATAAATCTCACCATTTCCTTCTCCCTTAACATTACGTCAAAAAATAGCCTTACACAAGATCAATGTCTGAGCATGTGTAAACTTTCGAATCTGTCGCGTTTTGCAATTTGTTTAACTGTTCATATTCCTAGGGAAATTAATTAGCCTCAGGCTCTTATGCTGTGCCTGGCTTAACTGTTGACAGACATTTAGTTGACACTCGATCAGCCGCCACCAAGCGGAAGTACCAATCCATTTAGAACACCTACGTCAAGTTCTGCCATTTTTACCGTCTTCCACCGTTTCCTGCCGCTCCGGATACAATCGCCGCCTTCGTTACCTTGGTCAGCTTTTCCATTAAATCTCATCACGCCATTAACAGTTATCTGAGCGCCCTACGACGGCTACATGACGGCTACATGACTTTCGACGACATTCACGTCAAACTGACTGTAAAAGGTTTGGAAAAGTCTATGACCCACCTCCCTCATCGCAAAGCTACCCTCACACCATCTGTCCTACTCCAATTCCACACCCATCTCGACCTTCAGGACTCTGTCCACAGTTCCTTTCTTCCATTTCGCTATAAACAGTATCCTCATAGCCGCTCAGTTTTTTCTGGAAGCAAACAGACAATAGTCAGTAATTAAGGGCGCGCTTATCATTATCTAGAATATTCCAACTAAGTGGCAAGAACTGACGAAGTATCAGTTTTGTCTTAAACATTGTAAGACAAAAACCACCGAGAAAATCTGCGCCAATGGCACACCAAGACTCAGCGAACAACAGTTATACTGAGCATGCTCAGAATAATCTCTCCAACCATCGCCAATGAAGAAAAACTTCCATGACGAAAGTAAATCAGAGGTGTGCGTCCTGTCAGTCAGTGATGAGGATGATAATCTCCGTGATGACCATGGTCTTCTAAAAAGTTTTTGATTTCACCTGTTGATGTAATTTGTTAAGAATTGTTAACATAAAGCCACAAGCTCCAGGATCTGCTGCCTCCATGCAACGAGTCCACCTATTGCACCCGCAGCCAGAGATACTTCAAGCTACCGATTTGTAGGACAAATAGGTTCAAAAACACATTTATCATGGCGAACAGTTTTAATTATTAGTAGCTATCTTAATTATTTGTATTTTGGTTTTTGATACTTCTCTTATTGTATTTTATTGTAGATTACATTTTGAGGCTTTTATTGTAGTTATCTTAGAGTAAGAGATAATTTATTCCCATTGTAAAGTAAGTCGTATTTCTGCCGGCCCGGGGGCTGCAATGATTTTACTTCCTAATAAAGCTATCTTTCATATCTTATTAAACAGTTTTCCTTGACAACTTTGCTTGTCAAGGAAACTCTTCCCTTTGTTTAAACTGATAAATTCATAAATTGTTTAGTCTAGCGAACAGCTATAGTTTCAACTTGCTATTAAGTCTGTCATTCATCCTCAAACAAATTCCATTGAGGAATGAGAGAATTTATGGTAAGATGAACATATTTTGTGGCCGTCAAATAATTTCAATCCAGCGGTCTCTGTCAAGTGTTTCAGAGTGTGGATAGTCACATGTTTACAGTCCAGTAAATTGTAATTGATAAATCGATGAATAAACAAAACAACATGATGAATTTCTCCAACTCGGTTTCCAAGAGATGATACGATAAGCGATCAGCCAGGATTGAAGACACCTTAAAGTAGGACAGTTATAATCTGCAAAGATACTTGCTTGTTTTATTGTTGTTTACTTCGTTAGCTTCTTTTTTGGAGAAGGTTTACTGAATGCATAAAAGGTGCTGACTGTTAAAATTGAACCAGTGTTTTAGATTGTGTGCAGTTTAACAAAACCTGGCAGTTTGTGTTTCTTTTAAGGGAAAAGAATTGCACTTTTAAGTTAAAGTCAAAATATGTGAAAAAGTCTCTCTTCAAATTGTGAGACCCCATAGAAACACAAACGGTAAAGCGGAGGTATAGATGTATAACCAATGAAATAATAATTCAAACAACAACAAACATATGAAACATATGTGTGAACTGCGGTTATGAGACGTATATGAGAACGATCCTCCGCAGGAGGATCGTTCTCATATACGAAATAACAATTATTGTGAATATAGAACCTTTTGGCTTTGCAAATATTTGTAGGAAATAAACTGACCGGTAGGGGAAAGTTTTGAATGAGTAAAATTTCAGTGTTTACATCACAACTCTTTTTTTCCTTTTTAGAATTATTTTTAAGTTAAAAACAAAATATGAAATTGTCTCTCTTAAACTGTGAGCCTCAACGAAACACAAATACAACAAATTATATTTCTTGGCTTTGCAAATCTATGATAAACAGGATATAAAGAACCAAAGGTGAAAAATTTTGACTGAGTAGTTTTAGCTTTTGCATTGTAAAGTATAAAACTCATCCCTAACATCTCTCTTGTAAAGCAAATCTTAACTCAAGTCGATCTTCACCATAACCATTCCCCGTGACTCGTCTCCCAGAGCATATCCCTGAGATATGTTCCTCTGTTTCTCCATTTCCTTCCTCAAACAATCTTCCTATTCTGCCAATAACGAATCATCAGATTCTTATCTTTACTCTTATCGACAAAGATATTCATATGTGGACTCACGAGGTGCAGCCGAGTGAGTCCGCAAAAAAATAAACCACTGTCCATCAGTTAAACAACCCCGGTTTGGGTTTGTTATGCCAACGCAGTGTTCGGCCAACTAAGCAAATAGACCAACTGGGAGCTGGTCATTTTGTTGGTTCGTTATAAACCCGTGAAGGGATGAATAAATGACTGTGAATATATGAAAATAAAATATGTGAATTGCGAATTGATATTTGAAAATATGAGAAAACAAAGCCCGAAAATATAATCTATTTCCTTGCTCAAATCAATATGACCTTAACTAATTCGTTGTTTAGAATAGATGGTGTAGGCCAGACTGAAGAAAAAAAAACATCCTTTATACCTTCTTTTTTTATCTTTTGTTCGAGGGAAGCAGTCAATTTACATTTGGAAACTTATCTAGAATATAAATTTTCCAAAGCGCATGACAATTGGATATTATTTTCATGTAACTTTCAAGGGAAAAAATTGCAAAGAGAGTACATTCGCAAGAAAAAAGTGTCAATATTATGACTGTTTGAAATATCAAAATGACGACCTCTTTGAATTTGAGCTTTTATTCATAAGCCTCATTCCAATATTCCAATCGTCCAAGGATCCATATAATTTCCATATACACTTGCACAAAACTGTGAACAATAGGCAAAGTTCCCCGCGTTCTCTAAGTCTTAATAGAAAGCCAACGCGCCGTTCCATCCAAACTTTATGTAGCCTAGCATATCTTATCGATTGAGGAATCCTAAAAGATACATGATCCGAAATTCGACCTGCTTTGAGGTACAGAGAGAGAAACCTGGAACGAAGCAGCATTCAATGAAGAACCCTTCGAGACATGTACAAAGCATTCTAATCTTTTCTTTACAGTTAAACGGATCAAGAAATCAAAGAGGAAAACAAACATAAGTTGTTATCTCAACAACAATCTGCGAAAGGGCACGGAAAATATATTTGAAAAACACCGAATTCTGTTTTTTTTTTGCCATGAATGATCGCTGTCTGGCTATTGAAGTCCCATTGAAGGATGTAAGCGGCACATTCGTCATGACGTAAAAGCTCTATCAAGTGTCTCCTGGTTTTCATGAGGAAAATAGGAACTGAGTTCGTTGGAGGTTAACCTCTAGTTGTACAGACTCTTCTAATTGGCTTCATATGATCTCCAAGAACCGTGAACATTTAGGATTGTGACACAAATAATGATTAGATGGGGAATTGTTATGACTTGTGCCATCTATTGTGTGTCGAGGAGCGCAATACAAATTACCTTGGTTTGCTACATCAAACTGATCATTAGATATTTCATCCTCGTTATCATGACAAAGGTTGACGGAGTGTGAGGAGAGATTCCCAGTCCAGCGCGTGACTCGATGCTACATCAGGATTTCATATGCGATTCCTGTCAGGCTCTTTTATAATAAACATGAGAAAAACTGCCTTTGATGAAAGACGTCACATTTTTGAGATGACTGTCGTAGTGACATTTGATATCTAGTCCCATTGTCAGGGTCTTAACCTGCAGTTTGGGGCTCAAACCGGCCGTTTGCTCAGGAAATTTTGGTGAGGTATCTGATGTAGCATAACACCCTCTTGCTGAACTAGTGTTTTGTTATTGTTCGACAGTATCTCGTTAATCTTCAGTATTAAGCCAGACCTGTGGCCATGATTTTCACATTGCAGCCTGTAATCATCAGCAGCGGTGATATACATCACACATATTATGTATTTCTAGTTAAAGGTGCTCGGTAAGAAGGACTCACCAATCCATCCAGTAACAAAGACAAGTCCGAAGTACGTGTAATTACAATGAGTGGACAAGAAATTCAGGTAAGGAACGTGTTTGCTTCAAAATGCCAGTTGGTACTGAGGTCGCTCAGGTCAGAGTGTTATTTAGTCTAAGATCACTCTTTGATCTTCAAACACACTGAACCCAGGGAGAGAAAATTGTGATAAAGAATCCCCTTAGCTTAGATTTATTCTCCAGACTGGGCTTGTTACCCATCTGACCTAGATTTAAGAGATTCGTATATAATTCTATCTGATCATTCGCGCAAGAATCAGCGGAGACGAACACTCACACTCGCACAAAATACGACGCAGTACATGCTTAGGAAAACCTAATATTACGTTTAGTGCAGTTTACTCACTTTTGTAGAGATAACTCTTTCATAACACGTTTTTAGTGTCAGTACTAGTAACAGAGAACTCGGTTACATAAGCTTTCCGAGGGTTGTCACGCCATCCACCTCCAACACTGGGCAGGAATGCGTAACAAATGATACTAAGGGATATACCATCTAAAACCATTAGACGTCTGAGTTCTCCAAATGAAGTCGAGGTGCGCCAGCGAATGATGAGTTCCCTTGTGAGAACGTCCCCAATGTACAACCGACATTGGGGACATTTGGGAAAATTTCTTACGACAGAGTTAATTAGCTTTACGAACAAAAGTTACACCATTTATAGTTGGTTAAAATCCAAGCTAAGTTTGCCTTAAGATAACCTCTACTGTCAGCACATAATCCAGCCCCACCCTCATGCTTCGAGTAGTTCCGTCATCAGTCAGCGGTGTCAATTTTTCAAACGGCATAAGGAGGTTTATTTACTTAAGAAACGTACAAGCTCATTCAAATTACTGTCATCATGACAGGACGGAAAACACATGCACTGTAAGTACCTCCCGTTGTCCCATTCAAATTTTTGTATGGGACAACGGGAGGTACTTACAGTGTACGCTTTTTCTGTCCTGTCATGTTGCCACTATGTATCTTCGGATTTTTTTTGGTGCCCAAACGTGAGATAAATGCGTCAATCCCATAAAGATTATCATATGTGTTAGCTAAGCTAGAAGTCAATTATTAAAGAACTGAGAGAGTATTTTTATTATTCAAAGACCTCCAAGGCCGATGCTGAGGAGAAAAAGAGAGCTTTTGGCTTGACTTACCTCATCGATGAAAATCCGCCATGGTATATCTGCTTGTTGCTGGGTTTTCAGGTACGAAAGAAGTGATTGAAGTTAGCTCCACTGATTTCTGTCTCTTTAGACGGCGTTTTCTTATCGTAGGTCCGTCAGTGCAGTCATCAAACAAGTCTTCAAAGGCCAATAATCGGCCACATACCAACGATGAACGATTTGTAGGAGTTGATAAGGCCGGGGTGCACGAAGGCCTGGTGAAAGGGGTCAGTGACACGTAATGAGCATATATTCGAGGGAGAGACTGCGAGTCCCTGTGGTCAGTAGAATCTGGTCCAATTAACAAGTCACGAGTGTCTCAATTTTCCATTTGAATCGAAAAATCAAGACTGAAGATTCAGAACGTAATGTCTCGTAAAGAACTCTGAGCGAACTTGTAGTTAAAAAAAATGGGAGAGCATTGAAGAAGAAAGTGAGTTTTGTGACTCTGGAGAAAAGAGAACATCATATTACGACAGTAAACAGAGGAATACATAAGCAATTGAACAGATTTTCTTAATCAATGGGTAAAGGTTTATTTCGGGTAAAGGTTTATTTCACAAATAAATAAATGGCAGCCTTCTAAGGGGCTGAATTGCGTATTTACAAAAATTGTAATATCTAACAGTATGACTAATCTAAGAATAATAATAAGCCTAAAAGTGAAATTGAAAATTTTAATATTAAAATCAATATAATGATTCTCCTTGTTTCAGCATTACCTTACAATGCTAGGAGGAACCTTGTCAATTCCCTTTATCCTTAGCGGTCCAATGTGTTTTGGTAGTAACACCCTTGCCATAAGTGAAGTTCTGAGCACGATACTTTTTGTTTCTGGAGTTGTCACTTTGTTGCAGTCAACCTTTGGAGCCAGGTAGGGATCAGTCGCTTTGCTATGATATGGTTGTACTTCCATATAATTTCTCCATGTACAAGTCTGTTTTCTATAGTGCTTAGCTATTTGATTTGCTTGGATTGATATGCTATGGAATTTGCTTCACAGTCTCTTGACATGTAAAAACAGATTCGAAGAGAACAATCTTGAGGAAATGTCAACAATTAAGGAACAATAGCGAAAATTTGTAACTCTAACTCGATTGGATTAAACTTTAACCATTGCTCAATGTCTCCGTCGTGGTGAAAATACAAAAGAAGGTTAGCATTGACCACTTTCAAAAATGGCTGCCGGATTAATATTCATTTGTTTAAATTTAAATTAGCCTTTCTGGCCTCGCTTGAGATAATGTATTATTTTGAATTTTGTACTGGAGAACGAGGCCAGAAAGGCTAATTTAAATTTAAACAAAAGAATATTAATCCGGTAGCCATTTATGAAAGTGGTCTATGATATTTCTAGCTTGCAAATGAGTTATGTAACAGCCCCTTGGGGGCGAAAGGTGTTAACTGTTTGGGGCTGAAATTTCTGTAGGTATGTGTGTCCGCCAGGCAAGTAGGCTGTTGTCACCTATTCAGTACAGACCAGTTCCAGTATTCTGGAACTCCGCTTTTTAAAAGGATTCTGGGATGTGGCTGAGGGGAGCTTCTTGAGTGACCGTCATTCCTCCTTCATTTGTCATATTATTCTGTTTTTTAAAAGCGGGTCTGATTAATCTATCCAGCATGAAAAATGTCACACCTAGCAAAACGCAGGCGGGGAATATCGACATGACAGTTGGGTTGACATATTGAGAGTGACACAGTTAAATACCCCCCTCCCACCACGTTTTAAAAACTCTTAGCCACCCTCCCTCCAGGGCAAGGTATCAGCTTGTTTTATTGAATCTTCTCAATCTGGGAATTGCAGGTTGCCAATCATTCAGGGCGGAGCTTTCTCTTTTCTCACACCAACTTTTGCCATTTTGTCTCTGCCTCAGTGGAACTGTGATAAACTTAAAGGTCAGTTCATTGCTTGGTTTTCGTAACAAACCAAATTAAAGTACCTTCCTTCACGATTAATTCATGGATGTAATTAACTGAAGAGATTTTACGTTATTATGTTTGCCAATTGGAATAAATACCAATTAATCATAAAGTAAATTGTTGAACGATCCAATTGAACGTTTATGTTCCGAAGCCCTTGCCAGTTCGTCCGTCTCTTTTACTCATGCTTGATGATTACAATGACAAACAGAATGACTTACAAATCGAAAAACTGGCTTTATGCACTAAGTTGATAATGTAAATTGGACACGAATGGTACAGAGGTTCGAGCGTTAACCCTTCGTTTTTATTCGCTCTAACGAAGGACTAACGCTCGAAACGTCGCTTTAGCGGAATCTTTAGAAACTCTTTGCCGAGGCCAATTTTCATTATCAACTCAATTGATGAAACCAAATTATCTTGTTATGCTTCCCCATCGATGTAGTGCCAAAGTTTCTTTAGAAAAGTACCGCCTTTAGACGTAGAGACAGACAGACAGATGCGTGGAAAAAGAGACAGAGAAACAGAAACGCAGATTGACAGACGCAAAAACTCGCGTAGATAAAGAGAAAGGAAGAGAGTGGCAAGCAAATGGTCTGATATCTCTCTCTACTGAACATTGTCTCTGTTTATCTCTGTTTTGCGAGGGACAATTCCTATGGGAAGACATTTAACAGACAAATTTGATCTAAAGTTAGCATTTGGATTTTAAAAGTATTTCCATTCTACGGTAAATCTAGTCACAATAATAAAGTTTAATCTAAGTATTCAGCTTTTTAGTCCTATATAAATTATCCCTCTTTTAAATGTCCTTGAGTTTTGCATCGCGCTAGTTTATAGATTGTACGATATATGTTTAAACCTCAATTGATGTTCAGATTTGCACGCTATAGGTAGATTTTGAAATAAATCTATGTATTTTAAAATTTATCGGAGATCTTACATTCTGTTCATCAGCCTGACTCAGCCAGTCTTTGAAGATTTTCTGATTGGTCTTAATATATATTTAATTACTTATTTATCTACATTTATATTTATTTATTTATTTATTTATTACAATACCAGAAATGTTCTATTTCTATATATGGTCAAATAATCTATAATAATCTATATATGGTCAAAATAACTTCTAAATCTGGCTACAGGTCATTTACCTATTCAGCTGCTAAACTATTTAACAACCTTGATCATGCCACAAAATGCTCCCTGACACTTAAAGAGTTTGTAAATAGCTATTGGCCTAAATAACTTGTAATAATCTATATAATTCAGCATCGTAGGTTTATATATTAACGGAACACGGGCAAAGGGTTATTTATTTATTTATTTATCCATTTATTTTAATGTTTATATTGTATTAATATATATATTTGTGTGTGTATGTTTTTAATATTTTAGATGCACAGCTTCATTGTAAATAAGTGACTTAGTTTTATGGATTCTGTGCTTAATAAAGTATCTATCTATCTATTTATTTATTTTTTTTTTGTAAATCTGTCATCCAGCTTTTGTTTACGTATTTGTAACTATCCTCCTATAGGCACACATTTCTTTTATTAGATGCGTTCCTCGGAAATCAACTTACCTATTTCCTATATATACAATATCACTTTTCAGTTAGCTATAATTAACCATACAAGTGCTAAAACATGATGTTTTCTTTCAAAAGAAAATAGTAATTCAACAATAGAAATGTCCGATATCTGGAAGCCCGGCATGAGAGAGGTAAGAAAGTCGAAATGATTGACGAAACCGTAACCTTTCATGTCATCACTTTATTCTTATTTTTCAAAGCGATTCTGAAAAAAATAAATCATTTTTTTCACTAGATCCAAGGTGCTATAATGGTTTCATCATTATTTCAAATGTTGGTCGGCTTCACTGGAATCGTCGGTTTTCTTCTCCGTTTTATTGGACCGCTGACCATAGCACCTACGATCACTCTTGTGGGTCTGGCTCTTTTTAATGTAGCCGCAGAACACGCAGGTATCTATTTCTAACATCCGAACAGTGTCGAATGCGTTTTTGTTTTTTACTTACAGTAACCATCGATTAATATCTTAATTTACTTATTTGTTTTAATTTTTTAAAAAGGAAATCACTGGGGAATTTCAATGACGTAAGTATTACGCGGATTTGCACTGTCATGTTTTTTAAGGCTTCGCAACTCGATCTAATTCAAATAGACCCTTCCACAGTGTAGCAGAACTGGAAATTTCAATAACCGTGACCTGGTGCACTTACGCCACGAAAGTAGTTCTTTCCTCTGAATTTTAACCTTCATCTTCATTACATTGTAACTGTAGTAAGAAATAAGTACACTCTTTCTATTCATTGTGAACAATTATCCGTGCCAGCATGGATATTCCCTATTTAAAATTTTAAAATTATTTGCCATTTTTCAAACTAATAATGAGCTTTTAGCAAGTGCAAATTAAATGCAACTTCATAAGGCACATCTGTCTATATAGCAATATAATTATGATAATTCGTCAAATCCTTTTATGTATTGCAGGACAATCGTTTTAATTGCCTTGTTCTCACAATACCTTACCAAAATAAAGATTCCATTTCCTGGATACAGCAAAGATCGTGGAGGGTGTTACATTGGTCACTATCCGTTATTCAGATTGTTTCCAGTGAGTGTTACGTACCGTGGAATGCTGAGTGTCATTCAGGCTGAAATTTTGGGAAAATAGAACATGGCCATTTAATTTAGGGAATACGAGACAACTTATAGAAATAAGTACCAAACACTGAAACATTGACTTGTGGAGCTAATTCGTTTCCTATACCAAGAACACGTTTGCTTTCGGAAACATGTTGCAGTCCTTGAATAGGGTGGAGATCATTTATAGAACTGGGTACTATTTTTCAGTGCAAAATTGGCTCAGATAGCATCTTTAATAAATTTTTGGGAAACAGAGGATCTCGATAAATAGGCGCTGACCATGCAAACTGATTTAAATCCCCCAAGGAATGAGGATAAATGCAAGGCTCCCTCTCGATCTCATCTAGGATGCCGTGAATGCTTCAAGTGATTGCATATGCCGATCTCGATAATGGGGGATGGAGGAGTGAATTGTATCTGCATCGAAAGATAGCGAGATTTGACTTGTGACCGTCAAATGCGCCAACTTCACTGCTTAAAATTTCTTTGTGAGTCACCGCTGCTTTGTATCTTTTGTAAAGCACAACATTATTGTAATAACTGCCTACCGCTTTTTACAGGTAATCCTTGCAATCGCTGTATCTTGGATAATTTGCGCCATCATCACTGCTGCGGGAGGTTTTCCCTCTGATCCTGACGTTCCTCAATACATGGCGAGGACTGATGCTAGAACTGCGGTGTTGAAAGAAGCCAAATGGTTCAGATTTCCCTACCCAGGTTAGTGCAGGACATGTCCATTATTCAGCGTCAATCATGTCCATTCTTCGTCTAATATGCATCACAAGTGAGTGTCCTCATTAACAGAATTCCTTGTTCCTTACCTTGAAAGCGACGCTGGCGTAAGGAATTATTTGTGTCTGATAATGTACATGTACATATTTTTTTCTTAAATTCCTCAATTTCGCGCCATGTTTTTAAAGACATGGTTATATTAAAGTACGAAGCTCCACTTTCACGTTGCTCTCTTTTCAGGTCAGTGGGGGACGCCTTCTGTTAGTGCCGCAGGGGTGTTTGGGATGCTTGCTGGCGTGCTGGCCTCCATTATCGAGTCCGTGGGTGATTACTACGCATGCGCGAGATTGGCAGGAGCACCGCCACCGCCAAAACACGCCGTAAACCGTGGAATCGGAATGGAAGGGCTAGGATGTCTCTTAGCTGGAGCTTTTGGTACCGGGAATGGTACAACATCATACAGTGAAAACGTGGGGGCCATCGGGATAACAAAGGTAAACTGAATCGATTTTGTTTATCTTCTAAAAAATGAAGAGGAAGTTTTCAAGAATATAAACGTTATAGTAAGACAGCCAGTCTACAATTACAATAAAAATTCGATACAATGAAGTGTCAGGAAACTTGCGAAATGAGAAGGGTTCTCTCTCATACCTAACATTGCTATTGCTTCGAAAATTAAGCTCGTTATACTGGCGTCCTCGTTACTGAGGTAGGGCCTTGTTTAAAACTATTTCCGTCAAGACTCAAACCACATCGCTTGGCCCCACTTGGTTGAGTTTACAAAACTATATACAAAATTAACTTTATGATGTCATAATTTTGATGTATTGTCAGGTTGGAAGCCTCCGTGTCATTCAGTTTGGCGCTTTGGTACTGATGGCTGTAGGTGTTCTCGGCAAATTTGGCGCGTTGTTCGTCTGCATCCCAGATCCCATCGTCGGTGGAGTGTTCATGGTCATGTTTGGTATGATAACCGCGGTTGGAATCTCCAATCTGCAGTTTGCTGACATGAATTCTTCCAGGAATCTGTTCATCGTTGGATTTTCTACTGTATTTGGATTGGGTCTGCCGTACTACATGAAAAATCACGATGACGCGATTAATACAGGTGATGTTTTATCAGAACATTGAAATCTCTTTGAATTAAATCAAATTTGACTGTTGCTATCACGCTAAATAGTACTCTTAGTTGGACAAAACCTGAATAAACCAATTGAATTTCTCTCTACTTTGAGCATTTTTCTGAACACTGTGTAAAAATATCGCAATTCGTGCATTGTGCTCAGAGTTTTTACTGACATTAACGGCATCATTTACCGTGTAGGTGTTTCAGAAATTGACCAAATCGTCACAGTGCTCTTCAAAACAAGTATGGCAGTAGGGTGCATCTCTGCTCTCATACTCGACAATACCATCCCTGGAACTGACGAGGAGCGCGGTATTAAGGCATGGAGGGAGCACCTATCAGATGATAGTGAGGGACAAATGGAGACAGCCTCCATTAAAGTCTATGACCTGCCGCTTGGTCTCAACCGCGTCACTAACTTCAAAGTGGCCAAGTATTTGCCTTTTCTACCGAACCACGAGGAGGAACATCAAGCAGCATACAATGTGGAAATGAACAGCGTTCATTAACTGTTAAAGCATTCTTTAGACAGCAAACAACGTCTCCAGTTATTTTTCTGGAAACTTCGGTGTTTTCATTAATTGGGTGTTCCCACACATATCTTGATTTATGAAATTGTTGATCTGTGTTTTAAAACTGAGTAACTTCTGTTACTGCGGATGATCATGAAAATCCGATTGAGGCATCTCTCCCGGTTTCTTTTGTAATAACGTACTAGAAAAGATTACGCGCGTCTGATTGGCTGAAAACGAGTGTGTTTTTCATGTAACACGTGCGTAAAGTTGCAACGCGCGCGTGTTGTCAACATTTTGTCTATCTTAACTTTCTGTAATGCCATTCATGTAAATTATTAACAAGTAACAGCAAGATATCTCGTGCGATTTTGTGTAAACAAGCACTTGAAACATTTTTCGAAGACTACAAATTGCTCTCACCATACGGGCTCGTGCAATGTTGTTGTCTTTGAAAAATTTACTCGTGCTTATTAAAACCAAGTTGCGCTCGAAATCACGTTATTACCCATACTTAAATTCTCAACTTTTAGCTGGTTGAGCGACATGGGCTTTGAGAAATAAGTTAATTTGAATTTTGAGAAACTTCTAAACGATAGTTTCCCTCGTCCTTAAAAACGATAGTTTCCCTCGTCCTTAAAAAAAGAATTAATCATCCGCTAATTGTAGATTGTCGTGTTGGGTGACGAGCAGAGGTGTACCAAAATGTAAGAATACATCCTGGTTTTTAAGACTGTACTTAAAAGAAATTACTTTAAGTGTACAAATTGGAAAAAGATGAAGAAACGCAAATTCAATTTCTTGTCTTCCGTTCGTCCAACTGGTTTGCGCACCAGAGCTTGCACTTTTAATCTTCAAGTTCCCTACCCGCGGTCTAATTCTGGAAAGCGCACATTTGCATACTCTGTTGCTACCCTTTTCAATTGCCTGGACAATGACCTTAAGCAAATAGTTTGTGTATATCCTTCCTCTATTACTTTTTCATCTAGATTAAATAATTTAAGCATAAACTTCTTATATTATTCCTTAAGTTTGTTGGTAATGTTTCTCATCTTGAAGAATTAATGTGTTGTGGGTGTCTTTTTCTCTTTACTGTAACTGTATTAGAAGGTAATTAAGGTTTATCACCTTACATCTATGTTGAACCAAATATTTGTATGGTTTTAGTTTCTCTTGTAAAAAGTCGTATCTTGCTGATTAGGCATTGTTTTATATGTGTATTTTGCATTGTTGTGAAGGCCGTAAGTTAGATAACTCATTGGGTTAATTACGTCACCTTTGTTAAATAAAGAATATTGTTGTTGTTGTTGTATTCAATTTAGGATATCAGTTTGAAAAAATCACCCTGAATGGTTCTATATCTACAGGTCTTAGGAGCTCTGACAATTTATTGAACCTATGGTGGTATCGTTACGATTGCTTTTACACTTTGCCGTGATATAGGTGGCCGTGAATATTTCTCCTTGGGAAAAAGATGTTCCAGCAAGTTGTGAATGATAAGCTATGATAAATTGCTATTGCTTGCTTTTCGCGAAGCTCAGCTTAGCTAAATACCTCCCTTCAGTGATATCTTTACTTCGAAGAGTGTCACCAGAGGAGAGAGAGGGATAAAAAAAATACTGAAAAAAAGGGAAACATAAAAGTAAACGATTCTGAAGATCTCATACAAGATAAGGCAGTATAAAAAGTTTATAATCTTTTGTGAAGGATTAATAACGAGTTCACTTTTCCAAAAGGTGACTTTATCGTCGGAAGACAATAATAGAATATGTAAAAGCCGCGACCCGTTGTGACCCTCATAGGAAAGGCTTAAAACTTGATCTGGGCACATTTATAAAAGCCTCCATTTAATAATTATAAAACTACCTGACCTGGCTCAGTTCGTTTTTGTTATCAAAATCCATCATGGTGGTTGAAGTAGCTTTAAACTTGAAAAAGGATCCTACGTAAGTAGATACTTGATGCATGAAAATTCACGACAGAAAGAATGAAACAGCTGAGTCGGTCTGTTCATTCGATTTCTTTGCGAGGCTACTTAAGTTCACCGGAAAAATGCACTAGCTTGAAATGAAACAAAGTAAATCGCTGTTGGGTAGACCAATTGCCAATAGGCCTTTTGCAGCTAGAGATCACGTGCTTAGATACCGCATAGCAACGCCATACTGGAGAGCAAGCACTCCAGTGATCTCAGACAGTATAGAGGTCACAGAGGTCTGCATTCAAACAAAGAATACAGCGGATAACAGGTCAAAAGGTATCCCAATTCGAGAAAGCCAGTAAGAAGTAATCAACAGCTTCCCCGGAGTGTATCAGCAGCAAAATCACACCAAAATTCGTTTTGCGCTGATACACTCCAAGGAAGCTGCTGATTAAAACTTACAAGATTTCTTGAATTGGGATACCCTTTAACTTGTTATCCGCTGTATTCTTTGTTTGAATGCAGACCTCTGTGATCTCTATTTTGTCGGAGATCACTGGAGTGCTTGCTCTCCAGTATGGCGTTGCTATGCGGTATCTAAGCACGTGATCTCTAACTGCAAAAGGCCTATTGAGAATCTAAAGTAATTGGGAGTGCTCTAGTTTGCCTAGGAGAGGCGCGGTGGCCTTATGGTTAGGCGGATCAAATGGTCTGGGCTCGTAAACGGACTTAATGTAGTTTGCCTGAAACTCACGCTTTTCTTTTCACCAAACAGATGCAAAATGAAACCCATTGGATACTTGATTGCATAGTATTCTCTCAGGTAGTTTGCTTCCGTAATAACAAAGTCTTTTTGAAACATTGTCTTGATTGCCCACTTTCATCAATTCGCTAAATGCTTGAGAAATTCGATTGAATCCTCGCCTTTAAAAGTTGTACACAAGGAAAATGAGCCTAGAATACACACCTAACCCATACTTTCTCCTTTTATTTTTAACAGTCTCAACATGTATTGCAAACACCAACACCTTTAATAAAATTAAAACGAAAAAAAACAAAACAAAAAAAAAAAACAATCGTTCCTAGCAAACTAAACATAAATGCCCCATTGTTCCTCATTCTATGTTATCATGAAAAGCCCAGTATTTGAAAACCAACGCGATTAACAAGTAGTGATCCTGAACTCAGTTGTAGCATGCAATGTTCAAACACTTGTCACAGTGATCTGACCAATGTGACGTCGATTGGAGAAATTGTTATTGCGCGTGCCCATGTAACAGTACTCCCCAGGCTTCTTGATGCGGAAACATGGCGGGTTGCAGGAGGGTGGGGCATTGTTAAGTTCGTCATCCAGTGCTTTGTTACGGGCTAAACATCCCCAATTGAGGTGAAGGTTTAACAAGTAGCCGTCAAATTCGTCAACGTAGTCAACTACTTCAAGAGGGAGACTGGCACAGGATTTCGGCGCCAAAGTTCTGCACCCTTCCTTAATCCAACACACGTTTGTGCGATCCGTACCTAAAGAAAAACCCACGAACTTATTAGTGACCTTTGGACGTGATTCCTTCTTGTTTTTTACTTAGTCTTGTTTTGCAGCGAACTTTAAAGTATGTGTTTCCTCACTAAACTTTCCCAGCTACATTTGCTTAAATTTTCCGGAAAGGAAGTCTATAAGCGATTAATAAGGAATGCCGATGAAGAGAACTCTTTCACATTTCTGGGTCCATTTATTCTCATCCAAGGTCATTGCTGCAGCATCCGCATGTAATGACCATCGTTGCTCTTACTATTAATAATTGTGATAAATATGTCCATAATTTTCTTACCTGCTGTTCCTTGTCCAGCATAGTCATGAGGATTGTTATTTGAACCTAACAAACGATGTAAATAGCACATAATAATCATTGTTGTAGTTTTGGTTTAGCTTTTGAAGTATTTACAACATAACTTCCATAAGGGTACAGTCTTGAAATGCCTTTACAACACTGGTACAACCTCAGCAAAAGAGCAAGTGAGTATAAATCAACCTGAGTGAAAGGCTATAAATTATCGTGGAGAAGAATTTAGAAAAGTGTGAAACAAAAGGGAAGGAGGACAGCCGAAGACTGGGAAGTTAAATTGCTTGCTATTTTGGCTTAAGTGTGTTATTTTTTGGTGAAAGCAAGATAAAATGATGGGAAACATTGTCCTATTATTTCATCTTGGAGAGAGTGAAGCTACGTTTCAATTCAAGTTAAACTAAAGATTTACCTTCGTACCCGACCACACAAAACACACGATTTCCTCTGTTGTGACTGTAATGCGTTCAGGAAAAAAACGATATTCCATGGCAGGATAGGTCTGAACAATATTTCCTCTCTTTCCAATCCCCCCGATGTATCGAATTTTGCGATGCCGGTGTTCCGGTTGCAAAAGGTTTCGAGGTTTAAGAATGATCACATGACTTCTGTCTTGAAAGGTTCTGCCGACCTGTGCGGTGTTCAAAGCTAGCTGGAGGTCGGTTTTATTATCAATGGCTTTTGTCGTCGGGTTATTGGCCAATCTGGAAATACAGTGATAACCGTTACACATTGCCCCTAGTGTTGCTCCCAAGATGGCTAAAACTGGACATATAACTATCAAATAGCGTATCAAATATAACTATCAAATAGCAGCCATTCATTACATCAAATGTCATCTTCTTTTATATCATTCGAAATTACGTTGCTTTAATGAAGAATTTATCGGGAGTGATTGTTATTTTCAGGCTTTCTAAAACTGCATAGTTAGAGCTTAAAAAATTCTTTTACAAATAGAATGTAGCAATCCTCAATTCGATTTCATATCAATAATGTTAAAGTGTACCTTTTTCAGTTGCACGGGACATGAGGACATTAGTGATCTTGGTTTATCTCCTTACTATATCTCACACTTCATATGTAGGCAAAACAACTATCGTTATTTTCCACCCTATTTTTCTTTCGAATCCATTCATATTTTCGATTCATCACTCGTATTTCGTTTCCGTTGAAATCCGCGCGGGGCTGATTCTCTATCATAATCCAGACTCGAATAAATTCCTCTTCTCTCATGTAGCCAAGATAAAGAGAAGCAATAATATAATTATGATAATATTTATTGATTTGTATTGCGCAAATATCAATCCAGAGTAAAAAATTTTCATCTGCGCATTACATTGACTCAACAAAATCCTGAAATCCTAAACATATTCCAATTAACAAAAAGTCTAACTAATTAATCTTTAAATCGTCCATTTTACAGTTTTCTGCTTGGTTGCCAAGCCTTTGAACAGGAGTGAGGCTAAGGGTGACCTTGTTATGATACAGACTCCTCTGTTTTTCAAATGTAAATTACTTTGTTATCATGCTAACTAGATACAGGACCCTATCACAACAAGGTCACCTTCAGCCTCACTCCAAATCAAAGGCTTGGCAACTAAGTACACAACTGTAAAATGGCCTACTGCACAAACGAGTAGTACCTTGTGTGGTGATCGAAGTGTTTCTGAAGAGGCTTGATTTAGTGTGTGTTTGTAACAATAGAATGTCTCCTTAATTCCTGAATAATTCAAGTATCAAGAGAACTTTATATTGACACTTACCGGTGATTATCATTAGCATCGAAATCCCTTGGTGCATCAGAAGTTGTGATGTTGTATCTGAAAAAAGGGTATATGTATATAATTCTATATAGTAGGCTTAGGAACTTAGTTCTAATTGTAATTTTAGCTTTGGAAAAGTAATGTGGGTAGCAGTTATATTCATATAGCGGCAATTTACTGTGATTTTATTTTTTAGTGCATACTTGAGTAGCAGGGATGGCGCAGAGCTGAGAACGCTCGCCTGCTACCACTGTGGCCCATGTTCGGATCTAGCGTCGCATGTGAGTTAAGTTTGCTGTTGCTTGTCGTCCTTGCTCCGAGGGTTTGTCTACTGGTCCTCCGGTCTTCCTCCCTCCATAAAACTAACACTCCAAAATATAATTCGACCTTGTTTATATTGGTTAATTAAATTCAAAATTTCACTCTTTGCTTTGATGTTATTATCACCTTTATTGTCTTTTAAATCTTAACTTAGAACTGTTCCCCAGTCAGTTTTTTTTCAAAATTTACAGCCTACTGAATCGTTAAGTTATATATCTACCCAAGGTATGTTACAGTTTTTGCGCCATTTCTTGAATTTGGTTCTCCTCGTGACCATACAAACTGATGCAGCTTTTGTTAATTTATCCATTCCTGTTAAAATTTGAAATTTTTCGAAAAGCAAAGGTGACTGTGATGTCTCAGTGGAAAGCAGTATCCAAAATGCATAACATTTCAAAAGCAGTCACAGTCGACTCCCGATAACTTGAACCCTCCCTTACTCGAACGTAGCACAAACTCGAACTAAAATCGATTTCCCCTGGATATCCGATATACATTTACTGCAATTTTACTAACGGTAACTCGAACCTCCCGTTAGTTTGAAGTGAATTTTCGTTTCCGTTCAAGTAATTCTCTATATATTTTTGCCCTCGATAACTCAAACCACGATGTTGTTCGCTTTGAAAACTGCAAAGTTCAAAGTACCACAACCTTGGTACTTTACCTCTCCTATTGCTTCACTTTGTTTTGTTTCACACCACGTCACGTTGTGATTTCTGCAGCATTTTATTGTTCCATTTTCAATCGACTTTATGATTAAATTTGATTTTAATGTATACTGTATGAATAGAAAAGAGAATAGAACAACAGTTAACTCTCATCTGTATTCTTTTTTTCTTATTACTGCTCCTTTGTTTTTAAATCCCGTTTTCAATTTCCCGCGAAGGTTCGGGTTGTCGGGAGTCGGCTGCGTGTTCATCTTCCTTACCTTATCCGTATAACACAACGTTGTGTTGTGTTAGATGGAAAGCAAGGGACCTTCCATTTGTAAGAAGAAAACTTGCCTTCCATGTTAATTCCGTTGTGGTTGACGACAGTCGATGGAGCATATATCACATCAGGAGGTCTGTGGAGAAGAACATACTGTTTCTTGTTATCACATCCTTGTGAGATCTTGTGCGCTTCGTATGGCAGGCCTTTTGCCAGCTTCATGTCATCGAAACCGTGACAAGTGCTCAAAACTCCAGCAGTCTTCTCCAAGTAATTCGTGATGAATCTTGTCCAATTCCCTCCAGCCGCTTTACACTTGTCCTTGGTGATGTATTTGGCAGCACATTTTTTAGCAGTAACACCTTGGTTGTCTGGGGGGCAGTCAGTGTGATCTTTTAGCCCTTTTGGCATGATGCACATGTCTGAAAAGGAGAGTAAGAAGTAAGTCTCGGAAGAAGGGAGACGATCAGTAAGAAAGAGTTTGGCAGCTAAAATGTCTTACATTTTAGCCCATAGTAAGGGCTATTAACATATTTCTTCATCTGTTCCTCAGTCGTTTTATCGCTGACAAGGATAGCGATGTCCTTCCATGGTGTGGGTCCCCAGTATGGATAGTAATCGCGTTCTTCAGGGACTTCCAGGCCCCTTATGGTGCCTGCCGCATTCTGCCGTGTGTAAATTGATAAATCGCCAGCAAGCTGTTGGTCAGCGGTAAACAAGCCTATAACGGATGAAAAATGTTCTGTTTTAAAGAACAGATCGACTCTTGATTCATTTCACGCTGATTTGATATTTTGAAACACAAATTTCTAGTTTTTCGATGTCTTTATGCTTTTCTGGATTTGCAAGATCGTTGCCGTAGAAATTCGTGCCCTTGGGCAAAGACCTTATGAATACTAAACCAAGAGACACAGAGAAAAAGGGAAAGAAAAAAAAAAGACAGCAATCCTACCTTTATTTCTATGTCTGCGATAATAAGCCTGATAGTAATTGTAAGGCTCATGAAGTCCCAGTTGTTTTGAAATATAACTTGACTCTTGAGTGTGGTCAGAAAATGTTTGAGACCCACTTGTTTCACCGTTGCGAATGGTGTGATATTGGTAGTCGGTACCCGCATCACCAGTGGGCATCTTGCCTCCCGGGAACGGCTGGCACATAAACTGTAAGATAACCTGTGTTTCCACCCAGTCGTCAGTTTTTGGTCCTGTTCCATGTTGATTTGTCCACATAATGTCCACTTCAGTTTCCGCATTTGAGGAGCACCCACTCATGTAAAATTCCTGAAAAACAAATGCAGATTGATATATTCAGCCCTGTTAAAAAGATGATCCTTGAAATAAATGTTGAGTGTTTGATTATTTAAAGTAAAGAGTGATAGTAGCACGAATATTCTATTTTTAATTATGATTTCAAGAATACGATTTAAAAGGACACCGTTGGCACTTATTTTTTCCTTGCTTACCATTGGTTCTTGTCTGCTTTCAACGATAGTGTCTCCGGGGTTATCATCATATTTGTCACCCACATTGTATCCGCAGTTGTCATTGTTCTAGAACGAAAGCAAGAGATGATTGTGCGACTCGAAAGTTCTGAATCTACTAAGAAAGAAGATAAGTTGGACTGAATGGAGGTAAAATATAAAGCGCATCTTGACCACTAAGGACAAAAGTCTTTACTGCTATCCCTCAGAAACTGAAACTTTGAAAGACACGTATTCAAGATTTTCCAAGTTACCTTTCGACGCCTCCGTGAGAAAGCAGACTTGTATGTTACAGTCCTTGGAATTGTTGATCGGGTTTTCTTAAAATAAATACTCTTTTCAAAACTTATAGCCTTTCTTGCTATTGATTCAGACCCTATTTGTTTTTTATTTAGCTATGCATGTTTTCAATCCAAAATCTTTGATAAAATTTTCACCACAGAAATATATCTTATGTTTACTCCCGTCATTTTCCTTCAACATCATGAAAAAGTGTGTTTGTCATTTTCATTTAATTTTTTGATTTGAAAGCAATGTTTGCTTGAGACTATAACTTGATTGTACCAGGTAAAAGTCCTGAAAAGGGGTGATCTGACTGTAAAAGAAGTGACTTTAGAAAGCTTGTCTATGGGTGCGGACTGGAATCTGATCATGCCAGATTATTGAGGTAACTCATGTAAAACAACCGAGTAGTTCACCTAGCTGTATCTTCTCCTGGACAGTCTCATACCACAAGATAACTTAAAATTGTATCTTTATTTCGCAGACCTACTGTAGCAGCTAACGTTTGGAAGTAAAGCTATCAATGGCAATAATTGACCGTGCTTTTGTCAAGTTAGAATTTTTTTTCATTTTTCTTTGTGCCCTGAACCTCTAAGTTTCAGGTGCAACCTGTGCTGTATGTGAATGAGGAACATTTTTCAATTTATTTTTATTGATAATTGTTTTTGAGAGGGAGACCTGGCTGACCTTGTTCCTACTTGTCTTTGATTTCTTTTACAACATAATTATGTATATCTATATTTTATTTGAAACTTGGGGAAGAAGATAAAAAATCGGATAAGGGCGGCTACCTGTGAATCAAAGAGTCTGGCGTTGTTTGTAACACCTGCATTAGCGCCATTCAAGCGATTGTTGGATCCTGGCGGGAAGTGCATGTATAAGTCTGACATGCAAGGCTCCATATGAACAATAAGGAGACAAACCAAGACCAGTGGTTTCATCATGACTGGCGAAATTGAGAGAAATAAACTTTGAAATTACTAATCTGGAATTAAATTGAAGGTTTTAAAGTTTATTCTTAAGTAAAGCAGTGATCTTCGCAGGTAAAGAGCAAATTAAGCAATGCAGAAAAATAAAAATTCAATATCAAAAATGAAATTGCAGTACGAATTATGATATATTATTTTGTTAAAGAAAATCTTCTTAAAGCTTGAACTATAAATATATTTATATATATATATATATAAATAAATAACAAATGATATAAATAAATAAGTCCTTCATTCCTTACCTTATGTCTTTCTAAACGAAGTGTTTAAAACTGCTATAAGATTCAATGAAATAAAAGGTCTAACACCGATCTAAACTGTTTCGAACTCATCAGAAATCTGCCCAACATGCTCTCAGGGAGCAATGCTATGGGTAAAATATCCAGAGAAGAGCAATGTTTCCATTGGTTGTTGTTGACATTATGAGCTCCTTGATTTATTGCGATAGAGAAATGTCAGGGAGAAATTTATTGGCCAATACCTCAATGTTATTCGTTGTTGTTCCCAGTTTTATTTTCTTGATATCTTTGGTTATTCGTTTCCTCTAAGTCTTCGGATAGCTTTTTAACGTCTACCACTTTTATGCTCACAGTACATCAATTAGGTCTAAATTCTCCTTTGCCACGACAACGGCAGTTTCTACCAAAAGACCTCATGAATTATACCATAGATGGAAGGTAAAATATACGAATCACGTGCTGTTGCTCATAGAAACTTTGCATGCAACATGAAATGTAGAGAAAAGTGTCTTTCGTCTAATTTATTACACAGACACGACTTAGACGGAATGGCAGACATAAAGAATGCAGTGAAAATTAAACTCATTAACAGAAACGAAAACCCGAAATATGCCGAGATTATGCTGAGTGTGAACATCGAGCCTCATGACCGACTTTTTTTTTTTCCCGAAACATTAAAATGCAGTGTATCACTGACTTAGTTCGGGCTTCCGATCACAATCATTCAAGTTTTTTTGAATTATTGATTTAATTCAAATCACATTAAACCTTCTGCTTAGTCTTATCAGCGTGTTTTAAAAGAATCAAACTTCTGACAGATTTTTGTTTAGAGTGAAAATGAAAATTCCTTCCTTGAGAAGCATTTTCAGTGTCATCCAGTCTTTTTTTGTCTCTGGGTATCTACAGCAGAATACAAACGGCTTATTTTCTTTTTAAGAAATTGTTTCCAAATCAGTTTACATTACAAACACCCTGTTTGAACCCGTTGATTAAAACAATTCTAATTAATTTTCCTACTTTTAGAATAAAAGATACCTTCTATGAACCAGTTCACGGTACGGGCGCTGTTGGTTTTTGGCATCGCCATCTAAACTGGCGCGGCAAAGACTTTCTACCATTTTAAAAGAAAACAAAATACGCATTCGAAATCCTGTAGGGAAGAATTTTGATCACTTGTTAATGACATGAATTTTTTTGGGAAAACTGGGATCTATTGGCAAATTGTCCTTTCTGATCGTTTCATTTAAATTTAAATGTTTTAATTTGCACTGTTGACCATTTATAGAGGAACACGTTCTGAACAATTTACGATTTGAAATACTATTTTACCTTATACTTTTCAAATTCCTAAATGATACTTTCCACTGATTTCCTTTGGATAAGAAATCGATATAAACAAAAATATATCAGGGTGATAACTAGGGACACTGATAGATCGTTGCCATAAATCACTTAGGGCAATTATTAAACAGCCCCTGTGAAAGTTGCCGAGAGCCAATACTTTACTCCATGGGGAAAAGAGTTTCCATGAGTGCCACGCACAAATTCATTATGGAGAAGCTCAAATAGTTCATGGAAATCCTCGAACATAGGGAAAGAAAATTTCGCAAGAAGAGGTCTTATGAAAAAGAGAAAATAGGATGCACAGTGCATCTAAAGGTTTTCTAACCAGCGTTATATTCGAGTAATTATTCATTTTCACTCTTGGTGTGCGGAATGAAAAAGCACCGAGCATGATGAATGAATCGCGCGTGCAAAACGGTGCGAAGATGAAATAGGGATATCAACATCAATCTGCAATAAATCAAGCCTAAACTAATTATAAAGTTGTGTCAGCGTAATAAATTACATGAAAGACGCTTCTCTTTACATATTATTCACGATGTAAAGTTTCAACGAGCAACAGAACACGATTTGTATATTTCACTTTCCATATATGGTATATTTTGACTTGGCCAGTTCCTGAGTTCTTTAGATAGAAATTGCCATTGTCATGGCAGAGGAAACTTAGGCACGAACTGAAACATTGCTTCACACCAAGCCAAAAAATAGTAGACGTTTAGAAACCATCTGAAGTATTAGAGGAAACAAAAAACTAAAGAAATATCCTGAATATAAAACTGTGAACACCAACAAATAAAGTTTACATGTTAACCGATGAGATTCTCCAAGACATTTCTCCAACGCAATAAATCAGTGAGCTCGTAATGTCAACAGCAACCAATGAGAACATTTCCCTTTCTGGAATGTTTTGCTCAAAACACTTCTGGCTTAGAGCTGGGTGAGCAGATTGCAGAGGAGTTGGAGACGGTTAAGATCAGTTTCAGACCTTTTATAATTTAGTCAACGCTATAGCAGTTTCAGTTTTAACCGCTTTAGCGTAGAAAAATATAAGGTAAGGAACGATTTAATTCCTCTTAGCACAAGAACTTAGTACAGATTTTTCTTCGTGTAACCGGAAGAAAATGAAGTGTTTCCTTGCACCCTCTTTAGGTACAAAGAACACGAACCCTTTCTGTGCCTCACACAGGACCCCGACCTAAATACTCTGTAGGCAAATCATGACGTTGAATTGCAACTCCTTTTATCTCATTCAGAATTACGTTTATGGTATACAGTTATCACAAGTAATTTTCCTTTTTCTAACATTGTGAAACCACTTAGTAAGAAGAGCTCAAAAAAAACTTCTTCTTCACAGAATAGACTATAAAAACCGTCGACTCGGTAGTTTTACCTTGATAATTTTATAGTTTATTTCTTTCAATCGAACCAGACATGAGAAAACTATTGATCTTGGTCTGCCTCCTTGCTGTACATATGGGGCCTTGCAAGTCAGATTTATACATGCATTTCCCGCCAGGATCCAACAATCGCTTGAATGGCGCTGGCGAAAATGTTGCAAACAACAAAAGACTTTTTGATTCACAGGTAGGTCACCCTTTTCCAGAACTTGACTTACTTGCAAGCAAAATATGAAAGATTTTTCAGTCCAAACGTCTAGATATATTGGAGCATTGTCTCTTTGAAAAGGAAAAATAACTTTTGAATCAATGAAACAGGAACACTCGTCTGAAAGTTCGAATTATGTGATCGCGGGGAGACTAATGTAAACGCGGCCAGAGCTTTTCCATCTTGGTTTTCGTCTTTCATTAACTCTGAATTTTTAATTTAAGTAGCTTAAAAAGTCTTCAAATAGTTTCAAGGCTTTAGCGTTTGAGTAAAATAGTCGAAGGTGTTGTTATGTTCATAATTAAATGGACTGTAGAGATCTGCATGCTTTCTCATAAAGGTAACGAAAGGTAACTTGGAAAAGTCTTGGGTCTATCAAATTTGTCAGAATGCATTCTATTTCGGTCTTGAAGTCTCCAAGGTTTTCCGAAGTTCAAGGTCGGGGATTTCTAAGGGAGGGCAGTCAAAACTCCTCAGGCAGAAATGTGGTTTACCTATTTTTTACCTCAATCCAGCCCAAATTACTTCTATCTTAGTAGATTCAGAACTTCTGAATAAAACACTCATATTGTTTTTCTTTTCTTTCAAGAACAATGATAAGTGCGGATACAATGTGGGTGACAAAAATGCTGATAACCCTGGGGAACCTATCTATGAGAACAGACAAGAACCAATGGTAATGCAAGGAGCTACTTGATTGGCTTGTAACATGTATAATACTCATGTGTCATTCAGAATATGGAAAGAGATGGCCTTGTAGCCTGTGGACTGGAATCGGGGTCAGAAGCACAGTAGTTTTCCATTTCTTCCTGGAATTCTATCTTAAATTTTACCGTTAGCTGGTAAATCCTATAAAAAACGAACAGAGGTGAATATTTCAATCTTTTTTTTTTATTTTTTATTTTCAGGAATTTTATATGAGTGGATGCTCCTCTCATGCGAAAACTGAAGTAGACATCATGTGGACAAATCAACATGGAACAGGACCAAAAACTGACGACTGGGTGGAAACACATGTTATCTTACAGTTGATGTGCCAGCCGTTCCCGGGAGGCAAGATGCCCACTGGTGATGCGGGTACCGACTACCAATATCACACCATTCGCAACGGTGAAACAAGTGGGTCTCAAACATTTCCTGACCAAACTCAAGAGTCAAGTTATATTTCAAAACAACTGGGACTTCATGAGCCTTACAATTACTATCAGGCTTATTATCGCAGACATAGAAACAAAGGTAGGATTGCTGTCTTTCTCTCTCTCCCTTACTTCGTTTCTCCATCTATAAATCTTAGTTTAGTATTTATAAGGTCTTTACCCAAGGGGAACGGTTTCTATGACAACAAATTTAGAAAAGTATAAAACATCCTATAAATCTGCGTGAAGTGAATTGAGTTTCCCCCAGAGTCGATCTGTCCTTTAAAACAGAAAGTTTTTCATCCGTTATAGGTTTGTTTACCGCTGACCAACAGCTCGCGGGCGATTTATCAATTTACACACGGCAGAACGCGGCAGGTACCATAAGGGGCCTGGAAGTCCCCGAAGAACGCGATTACTATCCATATTGGGGGCCAACACCATGGAAGGACATTGCTATCCTTGTAAGCGAAGGAAAGACTGAGGAACTGATGAAGAAATACGTCAATAGCCCTAACTATGGGCTCAAATGTAAGACATTTTACCGCAAAACTCTTTCTTAATGATCGTCCCCCTTCTTCTGGTACTTACCTCTTACTCTCCCTTTCAGATATGTGCATCATGCCAAAAGGGCTAAAAGATCACACTGACTGCCCCCCAGACAACCAAGGTGTTACTGCTAAAAAATGCGTTGCCAAGTACATCACCAAGGACAAGTGTAAAGCGGCCAAAGGGACTTGGACAGGATTCATCACAAATTACTTGGAGAAGACTGCTGGAGTATTAAGCACTTGTAAAAATGTAGATGACATGAAGCTGGCAAAAGGCCTGCCATACGAAGCGCACAAGATCTCACAAGGATGTGATAACAAGAAACAGTATGTTCTTCTTCACAGACCTCCTGAAGTGATCTACGCACCATCGACTGTCGTCAACCACAACGGAATTAACATGGAAGGCAAGTTTTCTTCTTACAAATGGAACGTCCCTTGCTTTCCATCTAACACAACACAACGTTGTGTCATACGGATAAGGTAAGAAAGAGGAAACGTTTTTTTAAGAGCTTAAAATGATTTTGGATCCTTTTTTCAAATCACAATCAATTAGCTCCTCGAGGAATTTAAATTCTTAAGCAAGTTAGGGATAGGACTGGATAAATTTCCAAAAGCTACATCAGTTTTGTACTGTCCTCAAATGCTATCCATAAGCATATGCCACAAAGGCGAATAGCGCTTTTCGTGCACGCTGATTAGCTGGTTTAGAAGTGATTAGCAAGTACAGAACCATTCACCTTCGAGCAGTCGTAGAGACAAAATCTGGAGTGAGTGATTCAATTTCCTACCATTGTTTTGTATATTGACAGAAATAAGCTGATGTTTTTCTAGATACAACATCACAACTGATGACGCACCAAGGGAATACAATGCTTCTCATAATTACAAGTAGGTGTCGATTTATTATTATTTATTTATTGCAGTAAATGGTTTGAACCCGGAGGTAACATGTGAAGGTGTAGTCTGATCGTCCGGGTGAGTGTAGTCCTGAGAAGGACTGTTGTCGGTGGTAGTGACTGACGTTTCGACAACCTGTGCGGAAGTCATCATCAGAGTCAAGTGAATGATTGTTGTCAGTAGAATGTTCTTATTCCAGTTCGTGTGAAATGATCGGTTGGTTTTGCCGTGATGTTATTGGCTGTAAGACTCAAGTGACGTAAGTCGGTCGTGATTGGTCTGTTTCGGTCTGTCGGTAAAGCTAGGTTGTTCTTTTTCGGTCGTTTGTGATGTTTATGTCGTGAATGAGTCGTTTGTATGGGGCGGGTAGTTGTTGACATCTGTTTAGGGGAGTCTGTTCTAAGTTAGTAAACCAGCTTTCCAGAGTCAGTCGTTGAAAATAGTCAGTGCTGTAGGTTAGGCATTGCGCAGAGTCCCAGTCAATGTTGTGGTTGGTAAGTCGATGGTGTTCAGCAATGTGATTGCTGACATCACCTTTCCTCGTCGCCCGTCTGTGTTCAGTCAGTCTTGTTGTGAGGTTTCTGCCAGTCTCACCGATGTAGGAGGCTTGGCAGTCGGAACAATTGATCTTATAAATCGTTCCCTGTCTGTTCCTCGGTTCGTCTTTGTCTTTAACGTTGGTTAGTAACTGACGTAGTGTGGTGATGGGTTTGTGGGCGACGCGGATATTGAAGGGTAGTAAGATGCGCGAGATGTTTTCAGACATGCCTTTTATGTACGGTATGGTTGCTGTAGTCGTAGGGGTTGCGGTGTCGTTTGTTTCGGTAGTGGTAGTGGGTCGGTGAGTGTTTCGTCGGATGAAGTCGTTGTTGTAGTTGTTCTTCGTAAAAACACGGTGAAGGTATTTGTTCTCGTCGGATAAGCTGTCTGTCGAGTCGCATACTAGTTGTGCGCGTCGTGTTAGAGTTCTGATAGTTGTGGCTTTGTGTGATGTAGGGTTGTAGGATGACTCGTCTAGTAATCTGTCGGTGTGTGTCGGTTTCCTGTAAACTGTCGT